ACAGGACATGATTTCACTGTATCACTTCATACTTGAAATTCATATTGTTCTTTTAATCAGGGTACAAACATGAAAAGGTGCATGTGTTACTGTTTCTTTTAAAGGTGCATCATTGAGTTTTTTTATTCTGTGCTTAATAGTTACTAGTCAGTGTTCTTTACATTCTTTGCATTCAGCATTAGAATCGCCTATGTGTGAAATACAATATCACCTGCAGAGGCACAGAAAATGTAAAAGCGGTTTCTTGAATTGTTACTCAAATATACTGGGTTACCTTTCGGTCATCAATATGACATCAAGGGGCTACAACATGTGAACTGTGGTATAGAAGTCTTGAACCATTGCTGTACAGGAGATCCTGCAGCTTCTCTCCTCTTCTTGCACAGCTGCTGATTACCATATACACTTTAGTAAAAAATATGTTTCTGCTGTACAGAATGGCTGGGAAGTAACACAGACACTTGGGAAACTCTAGAGCTCCCTTTGCAAGCTTTCGAACAAAGCCCTTTGATCTAACTGCATGCCTGCTCTGTGTCCCAGATTTCACCCTATGGGGCTTTCTGCTTCAAGAACACCCTCAGCTGGGGCTACTTTACATTGACTGCATTGAAGTTCATCGGAGCATGCACCTTACTGTATAACATATTCTTTAGCTTTTACAAGTTTGTAAAGATGGTTGACTGCAAAACTAATCATGTGTCAATACAGCAGAATTAAATTAAGGCACACAGAAAGTTATCAATAATGTATTAAATCAGAATTACAGTCCTTTGGAACTGAATGTTTTGCTGCTGGCAGTGCAAGAAAAGCAAAGTTGTGTATTTATTGTTGGGTGCTGAGGCTTCGGTATGGAAATCAATATAATAAAATTTTTCACAGTGTTGAGTTCTCTTTAGTTGTTCCCAAATTGTTGAAAAGTAAAAACACAAAAAATTAGTTTTGTATTTAAAACTGCTTCACCTTTCTAGCTATATTTTTCTTTTGTCTAAAAATGTAAAATGAATACAAATGCAGTAAGTATTGTATATTAAATACAGAAAATTAGCAACCTTGATTTTGTAGTTTGTATGTTTGCAAGTGTTTTTCTCAACACCATGTGTATTCTAGAAAATCAACAAACAACCAGACACAGAAACATAAGCACATGCACACCTTTTCTAGCACTTACCATATAAAATTTGTTTTATAAAAATCTAACCTCATTTGTCCCGATTTCTCATTTCTGAGCTACTTTATTGCTTACATAGGATGAATGCCATTAAAAAAAAAAAAATGAGATCACTTTTTCTTCCAGAGGCAAAACATTGCTGCAATTGCTGGGAATCTGTGATTCAGCACTAATATGTCTTTGCTGAAATCTTTGTTTTAGTCTAAGCAAATTGTGCTGTAATACAGCCATAATGGCTCTCAGTTGTCCATGGAATGCAATATTTTTCCCAAAGGTTACTTGATCCACCATTGCACTAACATGCATGGTATTTGTGTATTCCTAAAGATTCTGATGTTTTCATCTTTTAAGGAGCTGAGCACACTTTATTGATTGACTGTTTTTTCTTGATTGGCTGTAAATTCAACTAATAACATTTCTTGGTGTATAGAAATGGTAAAAATGTGGTTTTTGAGTCACACACAAAATGACACATCAGACTCCAAAATCAACTGCACGTTTTCTGTCTTCAACCAAAAAATGCTCATCAAAACAACTCAAATAAAGCTTCAGCTTATTGTAAAGATCATTAAGTACTCTTTAGAGCAGGATACAAGTAGCTTCTACTAATAAGGCCTCCAGTGAGCCAAGTATTAGCTCAAGCATCCAGAGGGGTGTCAGCTCCTGGATGAAAGCTGACAGAAATGACTGGAAAGCTAACCAGACCCTAAAGCCTCAAAGGATTTTATAGCTTAGAACCAAAACTTTGTGCTGCCCTTAGAAAGTAGAAGGAACCACGGAAGTCTTTTGCTTAGTTATAAGCTAAGGTTATAAGCTGCAGATGCAACAGAGCCTTAAATAAAAACAGCCACCTTTACATTACGTGACACTCCAAATTAGTCTTTAAGCACATTATAAGGTTATAAGCAGCAGTCCAGCCAGGGACAGACACAAAGTGAACTGCAGTGAGGCCAGTCAGAGTCACAAATACCCATGTTAGCCATAGCTAATGGATTGTGAAAAAGGGAAAAATCATGGAAATATTTAACATTACATAAGAAATACTACAGCGATCTGTATACTTTCTGGTGTTCTATCTCTGTTAGTGCTCAGAGCAAGACACCACAGAAGAAAATTCTACTGTCTGTTGACAATTACAATACAAATTCTTCATATGGGAATTTTCTTCCTAGCCCTCATCTGTGAGAAGGTGAGTTCATAAAACCTAATTATGGAAAAGAAAATGGTATTAAAAAAATAATCCATTAAGCAAAATACTAAGGACTTTGTAGGGAAAAAAGCACAAATGTTACTCTTCCCGTTATTCACATAAGTGTTCTTATCCTCTTTGCCTCAAAATTGTCTGATGGCACTAGGTGTCACATGTCAGCACCATAGAAACAAATGTTCCTTTAAAAAGAATTTTAAATGCATTGTCTTTGTCTATCATTCACCTGCCATTTACTGATAAATGGAAAGCAAGATAGCACAGTATCTGTCACGCCTCATTTTGTACCGATCAGTTATGTTGCTCCCCCCACCCACTCCTTTGATAAACAAGGTCATCTCTCAGTCTCCTTTCACACAGAAGTCCTTTCCCCAAGTATTTTCATCCATTTTTAGAAATCTGATTTGTCTGGCTGGACTCCCAAGCCGCCTTCACAGCCAGGGAAGAAAAGTTAATTGGAGTCTAAAATACTGTGAAGTGCCTAGCAGAGGACTCCCTTCTGCCCAGTGCCTGCACAGGGAGGGACTCCAGTGCCCTTGCCTTCCTGCAATGGCAAGTCTTACTATTTCCAGGTACCAGGCTCAAAGTCTCATGGTGCAAACCATGGGATGAATAAACTCTCTTAGGTTCAAATTTGGTCAAAACATTTCTGAAGAGTAATTCTATCCTGGAAGACTTGATGCAGCTTAGGTGTTACCTACTCTGCTGCAGCTGAGCTGCAGCCCATGAAGACCTGCAGCCTGGCCACTGTGCCAGCACAGGGACGCACAGACAGCCATGCTCTCACACTTGGGGCCACCCTTGTGCTGCCTAGGGCTGTAGTGGTGCTGGGCACAGCCTGCAGGGGTGCAATGCCATGGTGCAGCCACCTGAAAACCGGATTGCACGGGGGTACTCTAAAATGGCCCAAATCTGAAGATGCGTTCAGGACAAGAATATCACCGTGCTTCACAAAAGGGGTGTCATAATATATTCAGTGATACTTCCAACTTCATTTTGTATGTATTTTAATGCAGTTTTGTCTTCACTGTCCTTCTCGAGCATTGCAAGCAGCTCAGGGAGAACTGCCCGTTTCCAAAGTAGCCATCCTTGTTTTAAAACATATCAGCTATTTTCTGAGGAATAAACATTATCCCTTCCGTTATGCACTATCTTGCAATTTTGAACACTAAATTTGGTTTGCAACTGAACAAATTTTACTCGTAAATCTGGTGTAGTCGCTTTCTTAGTTTCCTTCTGGTTCCTCACAGCCTGCTCTTGGTTTTATTAAGCAATTTGGTATCACAAATTCCCATTGGCTCACCAGTTGTTCCAGCTATTCCCAAATATGATGAAGACAGAAAAACTATTTTAGAAACAAAACTCATTTGTGCTTTGTATGATTAGCATATTAACATAATTACTTTTTGTCATTTTTACAAAGAAGTGACTAACATGCAGTAATTTTTAATGGTAACACTTTAAGAAAAGGACATTTAAAATTCATGTTAGTAGATCCCGGTGATTCATGGGCTTCTCTTAGCACTTCCAATACTTAATGTAATATTAAACCTGCCAGTATTACAATGTGCTTTATTTTGCAGTGCAGATGGCTACCGAGGGATGAGTACACACTTTTGGTTTTGTTTTGGTTTTCTTTTTTCCCCAAATAGAGCCCCTTTTCATTGAATTTTATGTCGGTGCAGGCTGCTATTTCATAATACTTTAGTCTATGCATCTACCCAAGGAAAAAGTAACACCGCGTTTCCATCTGTAACTGGCCGCTAGATGGATCAAGAGACAAAGCCCTCGCCATGAAATTCTGCCCTCTCCCGGGATGCAAGTGCACGTTTACATTTCATCCAGGCTCCCCTCAGAGCCACCCCCAAAGGCTGTCCCGGCGCTCGCCCCGCCGGCGGCTCCTCAGTACAAGACAGACATGGAGCTCCTGGAGTGGGTCCAGCGGAGGGCAACGAGGATGATTGCGGGGCTGGAGATCTCTCTTTCGAGGAAAGGCTGAGGGAGCTGGGCCTGTTCGGCCTCAGAAGAGACGGCTGAGACGGGACCTCATTTAAAGGGGGTGTTCAAGAGGATGGAGCCAGGCTCTTCTCGGTGGTGCTGAGTAACAGGACAGAAGCCAACAGGCAGAAACTGATGCACAGGAAGCTCCACCTGAATATGAGTAAGAGCTTCTTTACTGTGCAGGTGACCGAGCACTGGAACAGATTGCCCAGAGGGGCTGTGGAGTCTCCCTCACTGGAGATACTCAAAAACCGTCTGAACACAATTCTGTGCAATGTGCTCTGGGACGCCCCTGCTTGAGCAGGGAGGTTGGACCCGATGATTCACTGCGATGCCTTCCAAGCTGACCCATCCCGTGCGTAATTCTGCCTCCCCGCAGTGTCCCGCCCCTCCCGTCCTCGGCCCGCTCCGCCCCCGCCGCTGCCGGGGCCGCCCCTCAGCGCTGCGGGGCCGCGCGGGGCGGGGCGGGGCCGCGCGGGGCGGGGCGGGGCCGCGCGGGGCGGGGCGGGGCCGCGCGGGGCGGGGCGGGGCCGCGCGGGGCGGGGCGGGGCCGCGCGGGGCGGGGCGGGGCGGGCACTGCCGCCGAGGGGCCGCGGTGGCCGCTGCGGCGCCCCGGGCCCGGCAGGGGGCGTTGTGTGGCCGCCGCCATCGCCGCAGCCGCAGCTCCGCGGCCGCTCGGGGCCGAGCGGGGCTGAGCGGGGCCGAGCGGGGCCGAGCGGGGCCGCGGCTTCCCGGGCGCGGGGAAGGACCCCGGGCCGGGCTGAGGCGGCGGCACCATGGGGAAGCGGGACAACCGGGTGGTGAGTAACGCGGGTAGTGCCTCTGGGATCCGCCACAGCCGCCGCCGCCGCACCTCCGGCGCGGAGGCTGTGGGAAGCTGGGCTCTCCCTCGGCCCGGGCGGGCCTGTCCGGCCGCCGCCGCGCTGCGGCCGCCGGGCGGGGCAGAAAGGGCCGCTGCGGGGGACGGGAGGGGCCCGGGGCCGGCGGGGCTGCCTGCGGCGGGCCGAGGGCTCCTGGAGGCCGGCTGGGTACTTGGCGGCGGGACTGAGGTCCGGCCGGGCTCGGGAGCCCGCCGGCGGGCGACAAAGGCGGGCCGTGCCCCGCTTCCCCTCGGGAGCTGCCGGAGCCCCGTGCGGGGTGTCCCTCCCTCGGCACGTGCCCGCGGCTCTCTGGCAGAGTCTTTCATTGCCTTGTCAAATCTGGCAGCATCGTGACTGACGCCTGCTTTGTGATCTGCCGGGGGAAGGTGATTAAGATGCTGGCCTGGTCCGTACAAAAATAAAACGTTCCCACTGGGAGTTGCAGCACTCGCCGAAGTAGCTCTTTGCCGTGTTCAGCCGTATTTCCTTAAACTTGGCGTTTAGCTATACCTGAGCGATCTGAAATTTAGCTTTACGCAGCACTGCTGCCTCGGGAGCCAGCGCTCAGCAGACAAAAAATGCGCTTCTACACACCTGAGTGCAGAGCCTGATTTCACACAGTTACAACGTTCATTCTTCTTCCTGTTTGTCTTTAAATGTAAGCCTTTCACCTTACACTCATAATCATTTAGGCATTGTAAATTTGCAACTGAGTTTTATGATTAAACACAAATCATAATACTTTTATTTTTTCCCCTTTTTTTGTTTCTTTCTAGTATATGCTGTGGGTTCATACTCAGATCCATTCACATCTTTGCATACCTCGGTGGAATAATATAGTAGTAGACATGAAGGACATATACATTATACAGATGGATAGCAAAGTGCCTTTGATTGCTTTATTGAGATATCAGAATAATGGAGTCTACTAAGAAAGAGTTGACAGTGTTAGATTCCCAAGACCGGACCTAAGCTTGAAATTGCCCTCTTGTAATGTTTTTGGGTGTGTATTTATTTATTCTTAATTTTCTTTTAATAGAGCAGTTGGGATATACCTACCAATGCCAGCAAATCTTTCTCTATACTACAGAGACTATAAAGTTCCTGTATAATGTTAATTGTGCCATCATGGCTTTCTAGTACATCACAGCTTTCTAGAATATTGGACCCTTTGCTCCTCCTGTGTTTTTGTAGATCTTTCTGTTACCATTGTTTTGACTATTTGGAGATGGAAAATAAACGAGGTTTTTCATATCTATGGGATATTTGCAAGGCAGTAGTAGTTAGTATTGCTTGCCCAGAGAACCATACCTGATTAAAGGTTCTTTATGCTTTTCATGAGCATGAAAGCTATACAGCAAATACCTTCTTAATATCTGCTTGAGTAAACTGCCAAGCAGAAGAAAATGAACGTGCAGACAAGTACTTTCTTTATTGAGGGTGCTTTTCTGTGCTCTCTCTGGCTAGTGACATGCAGTTTGGCAAAGTAGTGCGAATACTTTTCAGAAATGTTTATTGGTGAAGTAATTCTTCATAAATAAACCTGTCTGAAATTATAAGAACATGTTTTAAGACATAAATTTCCTAATCATGGAATATATAGCAGTACTCAGTCATTATGTATTTGCTGTGGGAACGTTAAAGAAAGGGAGGAAACTTCCTAGCCAGTTGTCCAGGGGCAGTTTGAGGAAGTAGAAAAACAACATTTGACAGTGGTTGTCTGTTTTGCAGGTAGAGAGTTTTGTTGGGAGGTAGTGGGGTGTTCATTATATGTTAGCTCAGGTAGGAAAGTAGTTAATTTTTATTTAAGAGCAGCAAGAGACCTTTTTTTTTAGAAAATAATTACATTAAAAAGAGCTTTAAGATACAAATTCTTGATTGGTAACCAAAAAGAGTTGACTTGGCACGTTCACTGGAGAAAGCCGAGTTTCTAGTGGATCTAGTACATTAAAATTACGTTTGTTTAGTCAAAACAGTGTTCAAATACTGTTTACTGCATTCCTAAAGGAACTCCTTTTCCACTCAAAGTTGAATTCAATTACGAGAATTTTACTCAGATTTCTAATGTGAATGCCTCTTTCTAAGTATTGTAACTACTTGAGTGCATACATCCATCTTCTGCTTGTTTCAGTTGGCACACCTGTGTTTATTTGCCTATGTTAGCCTTTTTGTGTGAATTAAAGCCATAGAGCAAAGCCCCAAGAAACAGCAGCAAATGTCACCCTCAGAGTTGCAAAGTCAACTTGAGTCAAAAAATGCTCCACTTGAAAGAGTCCTTGGATTGCCTCAGTGCCATCCAGGTCCAGATCATGAGCTAAACTCGTGTGGGGAGTTTAGCCAGGTGCCCCATCCAAGGCAGAGCCCAGAGTCCCTCTTCCAGGCCTAAATGTATCCCCAAGAGCTGAAGGCTGAAGGCCACCAGCCTGCTTGCAGTCCAGAAACTCAGCATTGCTGTGGTCACTGCTCCTGCTGTGAGGGCAACAGCTGCTGCTTCTGACAGCTTTCACAAATGGTCACCTCCTGTGTATGGCGGTTTCTGAGTGCCTGACAAAAAGCAGTGTTGGACATGTAGGAGCTATACAGATGGTCAGATCTTTGCTTTGAATCTACAAAATGTTGTACTCTTTAAAAAATTGTCTCAGACTGGCAACAAAAGAAGCATTGTATGGGCTGTTTGATCTTTTTCCTCATCTCCAAACTGAACAGTAAGAACAGTGTGTGTTACATTCTGCAGAAGTAAATTGTAAAGTGTTGGGATGATGTGATGAAAACCTGTGAGATAAGGGGGTATATGTATCCCCCCTTTCACATGAACAAACTATTGTTGACATAAAAAAATATGGAAGAATTGTTTGCTATAGGTTTCCCATTAATTGCGGAGGTGTATTATGGATTCTAAGCTTTAATTTCATCTTCTATAGCCCAAACAGAATGCATAGGTTTGAAAGATGGAATACGTCATAAATTGGCATTATGTATGTTTGGGTTTGGAGTTTTTTTCCTCCTCAAATAGCCCTAAGTCATTGAATTTTCATATATGCATAACTGTAGCAGAGTACCACTGCTTTCTTGTTTTGGTGTTACAGCAAGAAATTTCATGCAGAATTTATTGAATCTACTGTCATCAATTTTGAACAGAACGATAAAGGCATAGAATCAGTTGTCCCAGAGAGTACGAGCTGAACTATAATTACATTTTCCGTATCCCAAGGAAGAATATTTCAGCAATCATGCTACTACTCTCAGTTTGCAAAATCACTGCTCAGGGAGGGGAATTATTGTAAGGAACATGGTCTCTTTGTGGATCAGTTCTTTCTGCCACAGTGTAACTCAAATTGAAAGCATTTACCTGAGTCTTTTCTGCCAGACCCAATCAACTTGTTTTAGTTAAACATTTTATATTTTTAGAAACAAGTCAGAATTATTTTTCAGTGAGTGAGATGATTTTTTTGTGAAGAACAAAAAGAAGATATTTTGGTATCATAGCACAACTGATGAATTTTGTATTTCTTTTTGTTGTTTCATATTAAAGGCTTATATGAATCCCATAGCTATGGCCAGAGCACGAGGTCCTGCACCAAATTCAGGACCAACAATACAAGACTACTTGAACAGGCCAAGACCAACATGGTAAGTGGCAATACCTCTCTACCATTCTGGCAGTTCAAGTAAAAGAGTTGTTCCTTCTTACTAAAATGACACTGGTACCTACCTACCTAGAATATCCAGTAATAGATTTTAAAAGATTCCTTGTCTCTGACCAAGGTGTTATTTTCTAAATATGTTTTCAATCTTCTCTTTTAAAAACAATAGTATTTCATTTTGAAAGGTATATTTCTTATTTGTCTGTATTTTTTTGGCAACAATTTCTCAGAAGAGGAAAATGTTTGTCATTTTACCTCTTTCGTAAATAATACCTAAACCTTGCATTTATATTTAATTTGTAAACAAATTAATCTCTAGAAAAACATTTTGCTGGTATATTCCTAGAACACAGTTTACCTACCCAACAAAGTCATCACTTTGAGATATTATCAGCAACTTACTTTATGTTCAATCCCTTCTACCTACTTTTATGAGACATTAGAGAACAATTTACTTAATTGCAAAGTTAACTTTAGATCTTCCAAAGGGATTTAACTACCGTACTTAAGTTATTAGGGTTAGGTTACCATATGTGTAACATCTAAGATGCTTTCCTGCTTCTTCTGTTGGAAGTTCAACCAAGGCTAAACTACAAAAAAACTCTACAAAAAGTTAGACATTGAAGAGGGCATGAAGAAGGTATTTTTAATTGTGAAAAGCATGATCTGTCATCCTCTTCATGTAGGGAAGAAGTGAAAGAGCAACTAGAAAAGAAAAAGAAAGGATCCAGGGCTTTGGCTGAGTTTGAAGAAAAGATGAATGAGGTTGGTAATGTTATGAGCTGTCAATCTATGATTCTTCTTATCCAACAAGCTACTTTGCTTTTGTTATTATTAACAGTACCAAGTAGCCACAGTATTTCACTTCACTCAAGCTTTTAATGAGTAAATATTTTGTTTCATTTATATCGGGAGTTAAGATTGCCACTTAACCAGTGAAGAGTTACTCTCAGTTCAGAGAAACACTATATAAAAAGTTTTTAAACTTGCTGGTGAATAAAACTTGACCTTGCCATAAATGTAAATATATTTATACAAATGCATGTGCTTATATTAATAAATTAGTGCATTTTCAGGTATGATAAACCTAAGCCTCTTGTGCTAATCTTCACTTGTTTAATATCACAGAGTCCAAATATATTGCAAAAAAGTGTATTACTGGAAGCAGATGTCTTTGGCAAGGAATGTACATGTAATATTAATATGGGAGAGGGCACAAAAATGGCCTTCAATGTACAGATAGGACTGCAAAGCACTTCTTTTTTGTTCATCCTAAGCTGATTACAGTATGTGCTGGTTCTCTGCTATAAATGCAGCTGTTCTGATCCTTGCATTCCATACCTACTGGAAATCACCCCAGTATAAGAAAGTTTCACATGTAACTCCTGTTGTATAGAAGGGAGAAATTAGTCTACAATGAATTTAGCTGCTTCTGTTCCTTCTTGGGTCCTGGTATCTTGAGATAAGCTTCAGGCAGTAATCTTCATTATCGTTTGTGAGTTTCTGGTTGAAGTAGATTATGCTCCTCATCTGTTACTGGAAGGGCATAGTCCCCCCTAGTACTCCTGCTGTACCTTTTGCCTAAGAAGTTGTACGAGGATTTGGAGGGCCATGGGCTGCTATTCTGAAAGGATCAGTTGTTCCGTGCTCGTGACTTTTAGCTTGGTGAGTTTGGTTTAGTATTCTATCACATTCCTTTCCTGATTTTATCTGTGCTTGAGTGTGAAATAATTGAAACTGGCACGGATAGAACCTTTCAGTATGGCAGAACAGCAGGAAGGGTTGCAGGGAATCATGAAATAGCCATGAGTTATTCCTAAAGCTCCTAAGAACAAATCTCTGAACGGTTGAAAAGATTACATGTCTCTGAATGAGGTGCTGTTTCCTCTATTTTACTGACAGTTGTTGGGATTTTTTGTTTAAAACATAGCACTAGCACAGTCTTTAATTTAAAGAGAATAGTGGCCTAATGAAGAACTGGCTGTTGTTAAAGACCCCTCAGGTAGCTCTGGGTACCTGGTATGTCAAAGTACAAACCCACTGCAATATTCCATAGATGCTGCCTTGGACTGTGGAAGCACATTATGCACATTACTGTATCCTGGCTAATCTGTCATGTCTCTCATCAGCCATATTCAGCTAATTCACAATATGCTGATGTGGGGATATGGGTATCATACTGCAATGCACAGGTTACTTAATTCTTGATATTTCTGTCCCTTCAGCACAATATGTAGATTATCATTGTTTTGCCAATACATTACCAATACAGCTTCATTGTGAGGATCAGAATAATAAAGAAGGGAGCACATGATGTGTCTGACAGTGCAGACAGAACCTAGCAGCCTTTCAGTTTGATGGGGGCAGGTTGGATGCTTCGAGTTCTTGAAGGGGGGGTTTTAGGTAGACCTAGAGACTGTATGAGGAATTGAAAAGGTGGAATGAGAGGAGAGTTTTATTCATCCATCCGGTATGCTTGGCCTAACAAAAATAAGAGCATTTCTATGAAGATGTGTATAGTAATTTGATCTAATTATTGCTGATATTAACGAGGCCCAGAACAGACACTACAGACATATTGAAGAAGGCAGAGGAGAATTTGTCTTGAAGTTTTGTTTCAGGTGATTTTTAGAACTAAGAAAAAAATTGCAGTTTTTCTGGTAGGGTACCCTGGTTTTCTGAAGTGCTCTAACAGGAACACTGTGATACAAAAGCAAAAATGCCATAATTAATGACCTTCAAGATAAGTAACGGTCTCTGAAAGCCAAATAACTTGAACACATGAACTAGCACTGTATTTTGATGAGTATTAATCTTGTGTAAAATCAAGTGTATTACAGCCTTGGTCAACATTATATGTTGTTTATTTTCTGTGGGTTCTGTCGAAACTATAATGTCACATAGAGGAGAGCTTAAAAAAACTGTTTGGACATGATGCTCCTGTCACTGCTTCTGTTTGGTTTTAGAATTGGAGGAAAGAACTGGAAAAACACAGGGAAAAATTACTGGGTGGAAATGAGAGTTCCTCCAAAAAGAAAGAGGTAAGTTATTTTCAATTTCATACAGTCTGTGTTCGGAACTGGATTTATCATCAATGCTGCCAACACAGAATTTCATAAATACATTTTAAAAGCCACCATCAAAGTATATAAACCTAAATGCATGACAAAAAAAATTACGCCAAAGTAACATTTGTTTTATTTTACTTTTAAGAAAAAGAAAAAGGAAAAGAAGAAATCTAATAGGGTGAGCAAAATTTTCACTTTTCTGAGCTTTTTTGCATTGGAGTTGTTCCTATTTGTCATTTAAGTTCTCTTGGAAAGAAAAAGTATAGCTGTAATTTTGATTTTAGATGTTAATTAACTTGCTTTTATTAAAGAGGGTTTGCATACATTCTGTACAAGGAGAGTTTTATTTCTGCATAAAAGGGAGGAAAAGATCAGTAAATATTATTAAATGAAAAATGTTAGAAGTTAATTAGAAATTTTATTTAAGAAAATCAATGTAGGATCAGCTTCTTAGAAGTAAAATTTTATTGATGATACTTTGAAAATGTAGAAATTTGAAAGGGAGTGTTTGGATGGGCTTTTGACTGTTTGCTAGACAAAATGCTGCATCTCACAAGCTTCACTTTTTGTTGTGTTTGGTCAAGTTGTCTTCATCTTCCTCTTCTTCATCAAGCTCTGATTCTTCCAGCAGTTCATCTGATTCAGAAGATGAGGTAAGAGCTAACTTATTGGAATCTATCAGGTTTTGTTCATGAGGCTTATTTAACACAGATTTTGGTAATATGTTTTAGAATATTGTTTGCGGGCTTGGTTTGCATAAAACTATTTAGTTTTTATACATTTGGTACATATAATAAAGTTGTTAATTTTAGACATAGATATCTATTCAATAGTTTCTGTATGGATGCTATAGATTTTGGATTCCAGGCTTGTAAACTGGATCTGTTTCTGTTTTAGCATTGAATTGTATGCTTTTTTAATAGAATCTCCCATCTAATCATAAAAATGCAAACATGCCATTTTTACTTTTGAGCAAAAATCTTTGTTACAGATAATCAGATTCTACAGCACACATCTAAATAATAAACAGAATCTAGAGAACCTGGATTTTTCACCAGTTTACATTTTTTCAATGCAGAAGAGTTATGAAGGTCGTCCAATAAAAGAATCAATTGTAGCATACTTTATTCCTCAAGAGAACATGATAACATGTAGGAATTTGGTGTTCCCTCTTCTTTACATTTAATGTAAATCTTCAATTCTAATGAGCACAAATTCAAGTTTATGTTTTTCCTCCTTTTTCTACAATATTTGTGGATAGGATAAAAAGCAAGGGAAGAAAAGAAGAAAAAAGAAGTATCGCTCCTCCCGGAAATCTTCAGCAAGCTCAACTTCGGAATCTGAGTCAGACAGCAAGGTGAATATGCACATGTGTTATAAAGAGAGAAACATTTCTGAGTTTCACATATCAATATGGTTTTTTGTCTTCCAAATTTAAATCTGTGCATTCTCACTGTGCCTGAGCTGCACTTGTATCTTCTGCATGTAGACTGGAATCTGCCTCCACTGGCCCCAATGCCTGACAGAAATAATTTGATCTTTAGAAAATGAACTTTCTTTATTCCAGCCATTTGTAGTTATTTTTCTGAATTCAGACACATGTAGCTTTTTTGCTGCTCAATTGTTTCGTTTTAATACTACATTAACACTATTTTCTGTGAAATTCTTTTGAATATGCTATTTAATTGAACACCATCTGTGAAAATACAGGTATTGCAGGGTATCAGTGGCCAGAATATTGCCTTTCTAAATATCTGTGGACTGAGTAGTTTCTTGTTGGAGAACTAAGCTTTTCCCAAATGCATCTTAAATTGAGGTTGTCTTTTTCCTTTTCTGAAAGTAGAGCAATGTAGGTACACAAGCTTATTGAATGAACGAAGAAGTGAAGAGGACACATCAGGCAATTTGTTCTGTTATGTTCGCATTTTTCTGTGTTACAGTGTATAGTAACTGCACTTCTTGCCAAAATATTAATATTACAGTGACTTGTTAAGATTCTAGGTGTAGACTTTATTACAGGCTTTCACTGGAATATAATTCAGTAGGGTATAAGTTTGATTAATCTTGTTTGCATACACCTATGAATTTTTGCTAATGGGAGGTTAAAAAATTTGCTATATAAAGGGGGAGAGAGATATCTTCACTGCTGAAACTGGAAGGCAGAAAATTCCAGAGAAATACCTGCTTAACCCCAGCCTGAGCAGTGAAGATGGACATGGATAAAGAATAAAGGCTCCCAACTGTTCCGTGTTATATGCGGTGACAGTAGTGATTGCTGGTATCTTTTCCAGAGGCTCTCTACGTGTACTGCAAGCACACTGTTAACTGATGCCATACAGACTTTTCATGCTGATCATTTAGGAAGTAAGCAGCTGCATCAAAATTATGTCTTTTTCATATTTTTCCTGTTCACTGCAAGGTAGAAAGGATAACTTTGAAGAATTACCTTCAAGAGACAGAAAAAGACTATGGGTTGGACTGCTTTTGGGATTACTACCTTTTTCATGAAATAATTTTGTCATGGTTTATGTTTTCCTTTCTATTTAGGACAGCACAAAAAAGAAGAAGTCAAAGGAAGACTGTGAAAAAGAGAAGGTATTTTTATTCTTTAAATATTTACATCAGAACTGCATTTTGCATACATAAAGGAGCTTTCTTTTTTTCATATTGAATGCCTCAGTTGACACCTATGGAAATTTTCTGTCCAAAACTACACAGAAGGTATTCGGCGCACTCAGCTTTAAGGTAGACTTTTAGTTGGATTCAGCTCCTGCGTTAGTAATTGCTATTAGTGGAAACTGCTGGATCTGTTCTTGTTACGAAGGTAAATTAAAAATTTATCTAATCTGCTGTAGTAGATCAGCTGCATTCTAGTATTTTGGGGTTTACCTTTAGCTGTCACACTGAGCTAAAAATATATGTGATGATATTTCAGTGGCATACCTGGTAGGATATCGGCTTGTTGCTGTAAATTAAGAAACAACAAGCAGAAGATATATTCATCTAAATGTAGTCATAATTATAGATGCTGTACTTATGATAGCTTTGAAGAATTGCAGGGGAAATTGTATTAGCTTAAGAGAAAGTACCTTATTCTGTCTTTTCTCTGAGCACAAAAACCCTCTTTGTTTCCCACCACCGCACCATTTTGTATACATCCATTATGTTCCTCCCATTATGTTTATTGTAAATAATCTAATTGACTTCAATTTTAGTTATTGATACCCAATGGGTAAACTAACAATGCTTTCAGAGTCCACACAAGTCTTTCTCTCCAGTTACCTTTCTTATCACATTGGACTCTACTACTTCAGTCAATAGTATTGATTCTGATGTACAAATTCTCCATTGCATGAGGCAAATGCACTGATTTTTTTTCCCTGTTGCTCCTGCTTCTATTTTACAGTGTCCACTTCCCATCAACTCCTTTTGAGTAGCTTCTCTTTGAAGACCAAGTGTCTACCATAGTTCCTTATTGTAATGCTGCTTTCACACATCTTCTGAAAGGCACTTGGGGACTAGAGGTGTTCCCCTACCTGCAGATCCCCCATCTCTCAGATGGGCTGCATCATGGTACTTTTCATGAGTTCCTTTGGGAAATGATTGAGGTGCCTGTAATAGATTCAATAGCACAGCTGAGATGTGTGATCCTGCCTTGCAAGAAAAAATTATTAGCGTGAATTTTTTCATTTTTTGGCCTTAGAAATTGAGTGAAGAAAAGTAGCTCCAGTCTTAGAAACACCTTGCCTGGTCCAGAGCAAAGTGCAGGGGGGCAGAAAAGTAGCTCATCAAACAATCTCACACAACATCAAAATTTTAAAAATACTGTCGTTTTAAATGCACTGAAATTAAATATGAAGTGTTGGAAGTGCAGCTGGCAGGGACAGCTTGTCCTGGTTCAACACAAATAATAGAGAGAGCTTTTTCTTTTGGTTGCATCAACAAAGAAAGAGTCTGAAGCTGCAGTGTTTGTATGCATATATTGAAACATGTTCAGTTATACGTTATTTAAAAGTGGGGAAATGTCTTATTTTCAAATACTTACTCCTCCATGTGTTATTATTTAAAATAAGAGACTATTATTATTCCTCTCACTTCTAGAAAGTTGCTGTATCTTGGTAACAAGGAAAAGGAATATACATAAAATTATTATTTTCACTAAAAGCATTTTAACAGTTTGGTAGGGTAATTTGTTGATGATGAGTAGTTAGTTTAATGTCAACAATATTTTAAAATATTTCACAACTTAGAACTGATATTTCATTCTTAAATTTTAAGCAGAATTTTTATGAAATTTGAAAGGCCTGACTTTACTCACAAATATATTACTTCTGTGTAGGAAGGTAAAAATCACCACAGGAAAAGGAAGAAAGCAGATCGTGGTGATGGACCTTTATCATCAGAATCTGTATCTGAATCGGATCAGACAGAGGAGGTCAGTGAAACCTCAGTTTCAGGTGTTATAGTGTTTGTAGCTTACTGATTCACCTGAGTAAATGAATGAACTAGCTTAGATTGAATATATTGTTGAAACTATTCTGCTCTCTACGGGGGAATTTAAGAGTGCAGCACACTCAAAGTTTTTGGTATTTTTACCTTTAATAACAAATTTTAGTAAGAATTGTTTAGTCCACCTTCTATCGTCTACAAGTAATTTTGAATTAATTTTCTTGAAAATATTCAACTTTCTATGGATATTACATTTGGTTTAATTTTTCTTCAGGTGCAAGCAAAAAAGAAGAAAAACAGTGAGGAAAAGGAGAAAACAGCAAGTATCCCTCTTACACTGTAGTTTCAGGATATAAACACTCTGTACTTGGTTAATTTCCAATTTCACATTTTTCGCTAATACATATGTTTTATAGCAATAGTCTACTGTCACATGAATCTAAATTAACAGTTTCTCTGTTTACCTGTTGAAGTCACTTTTTTCAGCTGTTGAATTAAAGAAGAATTTGTCACTATTTTACCTATATATGATTTGAGATTTATATGTTTAACACTTACGGTAGAATTGTACTCTGTATCAACCTACTAGAACTACTACTACTTGTAGAGTACCGGATAGGGTAGCAGTTTGCCACACAGACAAACATCAGTGCTGTTCCTTTGTTAATATTGTACATAATTCCTCTCTTCCACCATGAAAAGGGCTTTAGGACATAATTGCTGCAACATCTGCACCGTATTAATTCTACCCCCAACCAAAAAGCTGCCAGCAACCTGTTACTTTTTTCAGTTTTGTTGATTTGTTTCTGTTGATAAAAGTGAAAGGAGGGTTCAGCAGTGATTTATATAGAACCCAAATTTATCACATGTAGCCGAGGCTCCTTATTTAGGAGTGTGGTGGTTTTGAGATCCTAAATGCCCACTCGAGATGTCTGTATAATCTCTCTCCTGTTAGCAGCAGTGTTCCTAATTAGGCATCTCAGTTGTCTAGATAAGTTAGAGTAAAGGGAAGGTTTACATTAGTCACCTAAAAATAACAGCATAGGAATATCAGTGATACTCAGTACACATTTTTTGATGGAACTTGTTTGTTTTTTCAGAATCATATAAACTGTTTGCTGTAAGATTTCTAGTGATTGATTGTGGGGAGAGTTTTGTAGAAGATGTATATGTGTAAGGAATATGTATAAACATATATATATATATAAAATATGTAAGGAATATGTATAAAATCATGTGCATTTTATACCGATTCTTTCGTTTGCATAATATCACACCTATTTGAGAATTCCTGTTGAAATTCTGCTTGCAAAAAGACAGGATTGTACATCTCAGCTTCTGAATTACAGTGAATCAGCATATTAGCTTCAGGACTGAATCCAGCAGGGTTAATTTGAGTGTATTTATATTTACAATTGAGATTATAATTGATTTATTTTAAACGAAGTACAAGTGCTAGAGATTCTAGCCAAGTGCAGTTGAACTAGTTAATTTTGCACAGTGAATTTAAGTGCTTTACTTCAAAATCTGTAAACATGCGAGTTATTCCCACATACATAAAACGTCACAGCTTGTCAAAGCACTTCCATATTACTTTCTCAATAATCTATAAAGCACTGAAAATCATTTAAAAGATTAGGAAATATAATGGTGACACTGATGAGAAATGTGAAATAGCCATATCAAGGTGGAGATAAATTGAAGACTTCTCATAATAGTGCAAATTGCTGGGTGAAATACAAATTTTCTTTTTGTGATTTCTCAATGGGCTTCTGTAGAAATCTTTTTTGAAATGTCTTTGCAAAGATATCCTTTTTGTGCTCTCATTTTGCCTTAGCAGAATGTAATAGATGGAAATCTTATTATACAATAACTTTCATTTAATTTTTTTTAGGATAAAACAAAAAAGAGAAAGAAGCACAAGAAACATGGTAAAAAGAAGAAAAAGAAGATTGCTGGTTCAAATTCGGATTCAGAATAATATTTAAAAAACCCCAAGACTATCAACAGAAGTGTAATGACTGAAGAAAACTTAAACTGTGAAATGACAGCAAACTTTACCAAACTGCATGAGTTTTCCTGTGTTTTAGAAATATTTCTAATCTTTCAATAGCCAGCCAGATGCAGCTGTGCTGGGACAGACCATTGTTATTGCCTGCTGCTTAATACATGAGGTACAACTTTTAGAAAATTCCAGTAAGCAGTGATGGATGTTTGAAACAATGTGAGATGGTAGGCCAGCTGAGGTGTAAAATATTGGAAAATAAGAGTTAAACTTTTTAGATAGTAAAAGTAGTCTTTTAAAGCATTAGTAATAGTCTTTATTTGTAAATCAGGATAAATTAAATCCCAAGTTCATCCTGCAGGTTAAACAAGCTGGTGTCTGCTAATGGAAAATTAATAACATTTAAAAGGCTGCCTTTGTAGAAATGTGTATCATCTGGCCCCTAACCATCTTCATGCTTATGAGAAAGGGAATGCTACCATTTTGGCTAACTGAATAGGGTGCCTTTGCCTTTGATTCTTGCAAATCTCCGCTATTTTTAATCCATGCAGCATCTCTGATTCCTGGGAAGCTAGAGCTATTGTCAGCAGACTTTTTCTGAATAAGCAGTTTTGAGCTTCCAAGCATGTGCTTCTGCATTAAGCAAGAGCAATGACATTTTGCAGTCTAACTGACAGTCAAAACCTGAGTATTTTACCTCTGCTTCTTTGAAATAGCGATAGACCTTTGCTAGTAAATATGCATATTTCATTTAATGTCATTTTGGTTTAATTGAAAACTTCTTGCAAACACCGGTAGCTTTGTTTGCATTACCTTTAGAATTGTTTTGCATGATTTGTACCATTTTTAAATTAACAAAATGCAGGTAATAATTTGTTGTAACCAGTTCTATGAATTATGTTCCACATGCAGAGTTTCATGTATGTATTTAGTTAAAGTTCATTGCTGTGTTTAAGTGCACACTTGCTGAAGATATTTAGCATGTAAAAAGCAGGGTTTTGATACCTTAACAGCTTCATATTGAAGCTGATTTTACTCTAAGCAAGTTCAGTGGCAGATCTGTTACGTGACGTGTCTTGTTAGATAAAAAAACTACTGCCAGAATCTCATTAAAGATACTGTTTAAACAGTTTGTATTTATATTTTTGTACTTGAGGGCTACAGAATGTTAACCTAAGTCATAAAGCTGATTAATTTAGTTGCTTTAGATATTGGAAAAAAAGCTTTTTAAAATTAAATGTGCACACAAGAACACACAAGCAACCATTCGATTTTAGTTTACATGAAATTCTCGCTATATTTTCCATTGAAATACTGATTGCTGGGCCTTCTGTTAGCTTTTAACAACTGCCCATCCATCCCAGGCAGTCAACTATACATTGTATTCTTGATCCACCCCTTTTTTTCATTGCACAGGTGCTAACTTAGAACTTACCTCTATTACATACAGATGTTTCAAATATTGTGTTGCCAGGAATTTCAAGAGCTTTAAGACATTGATTATTAGTCTGCAAACCATAACTAAAAACTATGGGAGAAAGATTATTTCATGTTGCCTTTGTACGGAGAAATTGACTGGAAGTTCTTGGGGCAATACAACCATTGCAGCATTACAACATTGCAGCAATGGCCCTCTAAATTGTAGTAATATTTTTATCAAATATTTTATAGTGTTGGGCTTGATGTTACCAATTCTAGACACTGCTTTGTCAGTGAGGTTAAAATAAAGGCAAGATGCAGTGAACAGTAGGGGATTGATTTGGGGTTTGTGTTTAGTTTTGTTGGGGTTGGTTTCTTTTTAAATTGTGGTGTTGCTGTTTTGGTAGAAGAACTTGTAATGAACCGTAGCATAAATGCTCTGTCCTCTGTGATACCTTATTTGACTTTTACACAACCACCTGCCACAGAAAGAAATAAAAATGCAAATGAGACCCAGTCTTCCAAATACCTAAGCTGGATGTCATTTTAATTGTCTCAGTATAACTACATGTTCTGCCCAGCTGTGGGCTTCAAGTGCTGCTGTCATGCTTATGTAGCTGCATAAGGGGCTTATGGGCTTTGTCCATTCCCAGCAAAGCTGCTTTAGTACTGACAGGAAAATGCTTCATTTTGCAATATGTTAACAAATAAGTTTCATCTCGTTCTGCATCCTCTTTTTCCTGAAGGGAAGGTTAAGTGTGGTCTCAGCCCTTCAGCTTTGCCGATGTGCACACGTGAGTGTGAGATGGTGCTGTGGGTCTCGAGTGGCACCTACAGCCATGTTCCAACTTTCAGCAGAGAGACAAAGTACAAAACGAGCAGTGCCAGAATAAAAGTGTTTTAATAGTTTTCTGCCTTCTGCCAGCAGATGAACAAGCAGTATTGTATACAGTATTTAATTTTTAGCTCTTCTTTCCAGAAACATTTTTTACAAGTTTGAAATGCAGTTATTTATTTTCTACGACTGCTGTTTTTTAAATGCGTGGTAAGAGTTGGTCTTTGTTCCGCCTGTGTATGTGTTTGTTACGCCCGGCCCCTGTCGCGCCGTCAGGCCGCGCTGACCGCCCGCGTTGCCAGGGCAGCGGCGGCGGCGGCAGGAGCGGCTCCCGCCGCCATGAGCAGGAAGAGGCTGCAGTTCCTGGCGGAATCGCTGAGCCGATCCACCAAGCACTGTGAGTGTCCCCCGGGCTGCAGGAGCCGCGCCACGGCCGCCCCACCGCCTCCCGTTGTCCCTGTGCTCGCCCGGGGTGGGGGGGGGGAAGGGGGCACCGCATTTCCTGCCGCCCCCTCAGGAACAGGGTGTGCGGGGCGGCGGGGTCGGGGTCACCTGTGTCATGGTCAGCGCCGGAGGTGCCCAAGCCCTGGTGCCTGCCCCGTGTTCTGCCAGCGTAACTTATAACCTGTGTTTTGTTGTGTTTGGGCCGGGCAGTTAGCGAAGTCGAAGTGGAATGTCTGATCAAGCTCTTCGACGCGCTGCTGGCCAGGTCCTGCAGCCAGTTCGCTGTGTCCGGCTTCAACCGCATCGCGTTCAGAGACACCCTGTTCGCCGCCTTTGGCATGACGGACGACGTGGTCTTGGACCGAGGTGAGGCGGAGACTTCTGAAAACAAGGGATGGCGTTGGTTTCACGCTGCTGACCCGATGAGTGTACCAAGCCAAAATAATGCCACCTCATCCCAGCGAGGACAGCAAAGGAGGAGTTATGCTCAGGAGCTGTTGGGAAAATGGCATCTTCTCTTTCATTATGCAGAATAGTTTTTCCATAGTTCAGGGTAGCTCACGCTCTAGTTCCAGGGAGACCAGGCAGAGGCAGTGTTAGTGCTGCCTTGGGGCTGTTTCTATCGCAGCCATTGAAGAGGGCAGCATCGTGTCACTTGCCTCTTCTCCCGTGGTTCTACCTGGAGCCGCGGTCACTGTTGCTGGTGGACAGCTCTAGCTCGGGCCTGGAGGTCCCAGAAAGGCATTCTGGAGGTCCCAGAAAGGCATTCTGTTAGAGTGGATGACTTCTGGGATAGAGGTACTGTGAACAGCACTGAAGGCACTGGGCAGAGAGTACAGGGATGTGAGAGTAATGAGCCAAGTAACCCCTTGAAAATACAATGTTTTTACAGATTCATAACATGAGGGGCATAAGTGCAGTTACTGTGAAAGTTGCATGAATGATTTCTGATGTAGAGGTGTCTACATCAGAAATCTGTAGAGGATGCAGAACAGGCATCAATCTGCCATTCTTTCATTCTTGGGCTGCCAAGAGCCACCCCTTGGTTCAACTTTTCTTCATCTCTCTAGCAGGAGAAGTACTTACATGCCATAAAATAAAAACTTGTTGCTATTTTATGCAGTAAGTCAAATGTGTCTTGGAAGATAGCTTACATGTATACATTCTTAAAAATAATGCTTATGTACAAAGGTGCCAATTTCAGTTTGCAAAAGCAAACCTATCGTTTTCCAATTCCAAAATGCTTGTCTCTGCAATTAGAGGTGTTCCTTCAGCCAATTTACTAATTAACATTCTAAAATATGAATTATTGTAGATGCTTTCAGTTGTATCTTAGATTTGAAGTATTATAGTACTGTATTACAGGCTGTACAAATAGTGAAGCTGCAGCTTGGAGGAGACTGAGGGGAGACCTCACTGTCTACAATTTCCTTACGAGGGGAAGAGGAGGGGCAGGCACCAGAGGGTGCTTGGGCACTGGAACAGGCTCCTCAGGGAAGTGGTCACAGCACCAAGCCTGACAGAGTTCAGGAAGCATTTGGATGATACTCTTGGGCACATGGTGTGACTCTTGGGGATGATCCTGTGCAGGGCCAGGATGATCCATGTGGGTCCCTTCCAGCTTGGCATATTCTGTGATTCTGTGAAAATCAAAAGTTGCTTAGGGAAGGGAGAAGAAAAAAGATTTGGTACATGACAGGAAGTTATTTTTCTTTGTATATTTAACATATTTATATGTTGTTTCTAGGATTGCGCTCTCCAGGATTTTCTGAGACAAAACGTAGTAATTAAAATGTTCTGTATGCAAACATGCCTTATTGTAAGGGGTATTGGTTTATTTGGTTCACATCTGCATGGAAGCATACTTCCTGCAGTTGTTTTAGTCAGGCAACAGATCAAACAAAATGTCTTAGCCAGCAGGATTCTAGAGTGGAAGATCAATAAAGTGAGGGGCAAAATCCCTTTCCTTGTTACATCTTAGATTCAAGAAGGGTAATCATACCTTGGCAAAAACAGGCAAACATCTTCACAAAAAATACGGGTTTATAATTTCAACAAATTCAAGAAAATCCTCCTTTGTTTTGTTTGTTTCTCTATTATATAAATGTAAAATCCATCTAATACACTTCCTAGTGTTCAGCACTTTTGATAGAAGCAACAGTGGCTGCATCACTGTGGTGGAGTGGGTGGAAGGCTTAGCAATATTACTTCGGGGGACATTGGAAGAGAAGATTAAATGTAAGATTGATCTGTGTGCTAATATTTACTGGTAGTCACTGAATTCATGACAACACATCGCTTTTGCTGTAATTTCGTAGTTACTCTCATAAAGTATTTGATAATTGAAGAGTTTTCTTCTGTATAGTTTAATGCAATGAAACTGAGTCCTGAAATTGCTTCTCTGAGACAGAGTTTTTTCTGTGTAAACTGCTATTATAGCTGCCACCTTATTTTGTTGCTTACAAAAACTTGCATTGGAACCGAAGTTTATTCTACAGTATACAGTTTTGACAAAATATATGGTTTTGTATTCACACACAGAAATAGAAAGAAGCAGGTGTATCTCTAGGGTGATTTTGGCTAAATAGCACAGTCTCAAGCCAACCAAGACCAGTGCCAACATTCATTTACTGGCACAGTGGGGACACAGCAGCAAATGCATTAACTCCAGCAGTTCTTCAGCTTGGAAGCATAGGTGGAAAAACTGAGTCTGTAAGACTATGGTCGTGAGAACCTCCACAATGTGACAGAGAAAGGTGGAGGAGAAAAAGTAGCAAGAACCCTAAAATTTTAAGAAGCAGAGAAAAAGAAATAGGGCACATGGGGGGGGGAAAGGTAATAAGGAAAAGGAGAATGACAGCATGTTGTTTTCATGACAACATGAACTATATATGCAACCGTAGTTCCCAGCTTGCAGCATCAGCCATCCCTAACAAACTATGTAAATTCATCTGGAAAGTGGCCTGGGATGCCATAGCACTAGAATGTGTGCCCAGGACAATGAATATGTGTCAGTACCACTACAAGCAGTAAAATACACAGCCCTGCTGTAAGCACTTTAGAATTTAGTAGTGTGTAGTGATACACAGTGTTGTCTGTCACAAGTGTATGCCAGGAGTGTTTTTCACTGTAGACAAAGTCTTAGTCAGAAAAAAAAAAACAAACCTAATGTGTTCCGAACTTAAGACTTTTGTTTGTTTGTTTAATTAAGTTTTATGAAGGCTGGTAAAGTTTATTATGATCATAGATTTCTGATTCCAGGAAGGTAGAAACAATTAGAAGAGGAATTATGCAGATACCCAAAATACTTTTGTTTAAGGTATTTTCTCTTTGCAGTCAGTACAGTTCATTCTTATTTTTCCTTTACTTTTCTAACCCATCATCTGAAAAAATGAGGATGTGTTTTGTAGGTGCAAAGTCCTTTTGGTAGAGATAGCAGGTCCCCACTATGGGAAATTTGGCTTCTAAACCAGAACTTTATTTATATTTTAAATTGACAATTTAAGAGAAGATAAGATCTGTAAGTAAGTATGGTTTCTGTGAACTGAATAATATTTATTTGAGCAGAAATAAATAATCTTTAACTATAAAGGGAAAATAGGTACTAATTGACTAATATCAAAATGTGATACTATTACATATATAAATATATAATAAATTTAGCTCAATAGATTTGCTGTACAAGGTACAATTCACATTTTCTCTCTATAGGTAACAGATAGCTTTAATGGTATGTGATTGTAGTTTGTAATCAACTTGAAATTTATTTGTATTCAAAAGACTGTTTTGCGGTTTATGACCTGAATGGTGATGGATACATTTCAAGAGAGGAAATGTTTCAAATGCTGAAGGACACCCTTATCAAACAACCAGCAGATGAGGACCCTGATGAGGCAATTAAGGACTTGATAGAGATAGTACTGAAGAAAATGGCAAGTACTTACTCACTGTGGTATCTGAGTGTCTTTCAAACATTCATTAACCGAAGCTTAGAACCTTCCTGTGAGGTAACAAAATATGCTGTGTGATTTACAGTGGGATTCTGAAAATTTCCTAAGGAAAGCCAGAAATACAATCCAGATCTAGTGAGCTCCAGTCCAGAATCCTCACATGAAACTTAGTTTATACTATGTGAAGGTACTATAAACTTTATGTATAAACTAGTGTGTGAACGTGTGCATACCCACCTGTGCATACCCAGTCAAAACAAAAGCCCCGTCAGAAGTGGAAAACTCAAAAGTGTAAGCTCCATTTATGCGTTAGGCATCTGCATTAGCTTTATTATTAAGTACATCTGTGTTTTATCAATTGCTCATGAAATGTCTTTATGCAATTTATATATTCTATTATAATAGTACACTCAAGGTTATTAATGTGAAGCTTGTCTTACCGCGCTTAATCTAGGATATCCAGATTAGCTAGGGACTGTCTTTCAATATTTTAATCAAATCAAGATATATACTCTCCCCTTCTATGGTGGTGGTCAAAAAATTTCACTTAAAACCAGGTTTTGAATCCCAACTCCTTTTATTTAACTCCGTCTTCTCTATTTTTCAAACCCACCCCTTTTGCTTTAGGTAGAGGCAAGTGACACAAAGATTGTCTGAGCAGAGACTGATGACCACAAAAAACGATTTTCTGTACAGTCAAACTAAAAATAGAATCCATGTCAATAAAACGTCTGTTAAACAAAAATACAATTACTACAAGTAATAACCCTTGGCTGAAGTGTTCCCTTCCTTTTGTAGGACTATGATCATGATGGCAAGCTTTCTTTTGCGGACTTTGAACAAGCAGTCAAAGATGAAAATCTTCTCTTAGAAGCCTTTGGACCATGTTTGCCAGACATAAAGGTATGAGTTTAAAAAAAGGTGCAATACTTTCTGTTCTGTTGGTAAGAAGACGTGTATTATGGCATTAACTGTCACCTCACAGTGTCTTTTGGGAGAGGCTGGTAACTTTCTGGAAAAAAAACCAAACACCCACCTTGAGAGTTCTTCCTTTGAGAGTGTGGCACTGCTGCTTTGTAATTTCATCTAACCAGGCTTTGTTTATCAGTAATATGTCTAATTCAATTTTTTTTTTTGAAGATGGTAATTTAGACCATGCTTATTTCCTTAATGTTAAATTCTACTTTGGAGGGAGTTTCTGCTCTATTTTTTTCCTAATCCAGTAATTGTAATTCTATTTGAGCTGTGTGTGACTTTTAAATACTAAAAATTGTAGCTTCATAGAGACAGCAAAATAAAATTTGAAATATGCACAGTGATTCCTAGAAACAGAAGAGTTGTATAAGACTGCTGAGAACATGGCAAGTTTTCCTTTGCTGGAAACCTGTACTTCCTGCCAGCTCACCCACCTGTAGGCTGGAGGACAGGAAGAAAGAGTCCTATAGCCACAATGGCAAGCTACATTACATCATGTCAGGTGCAAAACAGCTGTTCCCAAAATGCCAGATTTCTCCTGGCAGGCTATCAAAAGACTTTAAAGGGTTTGGGAAAACCAAAGTAAGTACTCTGTTTTTTAACACCAGTGAAAAGGTTTTAAAGTTTCTGAACAAAATCACTGTCATTAATCAGCATGGAAAAATTACTTCTTTTGTCAGTGTTGGTGATAAACCAGGCCCACAATTCAGGCTAATCATGGCAAGAGGTGGAAAACTTGGTTTGTTTCTTGCTTACAGTATTTGTGCCTTCTGTTCTTTATCCTACCCAACTGCTGCTTTTCCCCTAGGTCTTTAGTTTCACTTTTAAAAGAGAACAATATTTATATGTCCTTTCAAGCCCTAAAATAAATTTCAGCTATGAGCTTTACATGAAGAAAACCCATAATTTACTAGATTTCCCACTGGGGCTATTGTAATTTTAATTCTACCCCAAATTAAACACTCATTTGTGTAATGAATAGTGTATTTGACAGAGTCCTGCCACTGTAAGTGGTTCTGCAAGGAGCCTGCAAAGATGTGGCACGAGCCAGTTCCTTACGTACACTTGCACCAGCACCAATCCTGTGAATGTCAGAATGGGGCACCTTAGCCTGGTGTTGGATTCATCTCCCCAGTGCCAGTTCTACTGCCCAAAGGTGACCCCTGAGCACTCCCACTCCAGGGTTGTTGCAACACAATGCTGCAGATATTAAATCTCATCACCAAGGGAAATTTCACTCCTTTACACTGTCATCCCAGTCTCTAGCATTCCTACTTCCAGCCCATTTACCTCATTCTGCAGCTGGGTCTTCTTGCCCTCCATGCTAGGTCATTCCTTGGTCACACATTCCTGCTGCTGAGCAGTTAAAATTCAAATTTCCCCTTCAACTATAACTTTAAATGTTCTGACTGGTCTCCCAGCAGTGACACCATTAGTGCTATGGATTTACTTTTTCTAAGCTAAAAAGCAAGAGGTATCCTATTCCTTGCATACACATTTCAGTCCAGTACATTTTCTCAATAAATATAAATCCTTTAGTTAATTGAAAATTTACTTTTCTTTTTTTCTTTTTTTTTTTTTAAACAGAGCAGGATTGCATTTGAAGAGAGAGTTTTCCCGGACACTCGTAAACTGTAACTCCATTGTTGAATACTGTTGTGAAGGGTGTTTTTCTTCACCATTCTTCATGATACAGTAAAAATAGGAGCAACTTGAAACTACTGTTTCAGTATTCCTTTACTGTAAAATTTACAGCATAAAAAGAATTTACTTCCATGACTCTACCTAAATAAAGTTCTTCAATGTTAGGAAACATGTTAAAGTATAAGGTACACAAGACAACATTGCAACAATAATATATTATAGTGGTTTGTCCATTCCAAGAAACAAATTGATACAATTTTTAACAAAATCCCTTGGAAATACAGTGTAAAAAAATTTTTACTTTTTACATAAAAAATAAATATTTTAAACTATATCCTTTATAAAAGGACTGTTGGAAGATCCTGCCAGCAGTGTCTATATTCTTCTTCTCTGCTTTACAACTGGTTTGGCTGATCTACTCTCTGGCTTTTCCACAGAAACAGAATCTGCTACCTAAATAGGGAAAAAAAAATTAGTAACCTGTAACCACTACCTTTTTATCCTTATTTTAGAGTAAGGCCACATCTCCAATATTTGAGTACTGGGAGGGATGTATTACTATAATCATGCTTGAATTGAATTTTCCTGCTGCATAGAGGAAAAAAATAACACCAAAGGCAGAATTAACACAATAGAGGTTAAACTTAGAAGAGTCAGCAGTACCATTTTTGTATTAACCAGAGAAACTGATTTCAGATACTCAGTGATAGAGCATTAGTGATAGAGCACCTTCTTCCTACCAGAGGTGTTTTCACAGTAAGGTTGAGTGTGCTTTTTAAACTCGGGTATTTCAGGAAAGGAAGGGAAAGCAAAAATGTGCATTTTGACACATATTTTAGAAATGTATTTAATATAAGTGGTGCTTATTTACAAATGTGACTGGAGATATAAGCCCTTTCAAATCAGTCTAGCTAGTCATAGTCAAGGGAGCTTTTTCATATCTTAATGTAAATGGAAAGTTTTATCAGGAGTGTTTGACCTGCTAATTGACTAATACCCTCCGTAAATGTTTATATAGATTAACTCATGTTTCTCAGCATAGAATAAATGCTTCTGTACAGCTTTTAATGGCTTTTTTTGCTGAGGCAAAATTACATTAAACTGCGACTCCCATTATTTTTCACTCCCTTTCAATCAGAAACCAGATAAAAGCACCACACTGGAGTCAGCAGGACTACCTGCACAGTTACCATGCCCCCACACGTTGGGGAAAAAAAAAAGTGGTTTACTGAAAATCATTCAGGACTGTGCACAGACATTTATACTTTCTTAAGAGTAGTGTAAGAGGTATGGAGTAGAATTGTCTGCAATACTCTAGAGTATGGAAGCATTAAAGAGCAAGAATGCTAGCTTTAACTGGCAAAGAAACTGGTAATACTGAGTGAATGTGGAATTAAGTTACCTGAGGGTTGCTGTTTTTATGAGTAACAAGCACATATGTTTGAAACTATCAGAACTTTAAGAACCCATACCTCTTTCAGTTTATTTCTAATTAATGTAGCTGAAGTATTCAATGACTCATCATCCATATCCACTTTAGGTATTTGTGGCAGTTGTGGACCAATAATGACTTCAGTATTGTCCGCATTTGTTCCAAGGAGGGAAAACCTGTTACCTTCTTCTCTCTTCCTCTTACGTTCTTGCAAGTGAGTTGTACGAGGCATAAACCTGTCAATTCCACTATAAGTTGGAACCATTCTTTGCTGCATTAAGGAAGCTGGTGGAGTACGTCCTCCTAGATGTACGCTGGGAGTTAGGGATGTGTTTTGGCCAAAGTACCCAGAAGCTTCAGCACAATTGTTATCATAGTGTGGGGATGTTAACAAGCTCTGATTATGATTCCCAGATGGATGCCCTGTGTTGTGGGATATCCCATGAGAACTTGTAAAGCAGGATGGATTCCAGTTACTGGCTGCATACGATCCCGATGTACTCCATGGGCAGTCATGCTCAGAGGTCTCTGTCTTCTTCGGGCCCTCAACTTTCTTTAACACAAAGCAATCTTTAAAACAAACAAAAAAACCAGCTTCACTATTTCATGTCATTATTAGTTCTAAAAAATAAGAAGAAATATTTAATACAACTGCAGAAGTAATACAGTGATATTCCATTCCCAGGCACCTTTCTGTGATTTTTAAGTGGTACCGTTCAAACTAGTTTTCCAGCCTAGTTCCTCTGCTGGTTTACGAGGAATGCCTGAGCAGAAGTATTTCCACAGTTTTGAGAACAGAAGGAAAATATTCCTAACAGCAAATTGGTGATTTTTACCTCCAGTTATGATTTCAAGGACAGGCTGTCTAGCAAAATTGAAAACAACCAGGTGTTTTGATGTTAAAAATCACTGATTTTACTCCCTTTAAATACCCTCACACAATGAATAGTGATACCCAAGTACACGAGCACAAGAAAGGAGAAGCTTGTACTCAGCAATTTGCTTATTCCTCATCTTGTCCAACCTTCAGTGCTGCCTGGGAACTCTGCAGTACAGGAGCCTTTGTAAACCCAGTCCATTCCTAACTGCCCCAGTGCCAAGATGCAGGCTGGAGAAATTTTTTGTTGAAAGTTCTTCTTTTGTTGAAGAACCTTCCTTCCAAAGCTGTCCCTTTGGGCAGGCCTGAATAAGCTGGAACAAGGGTGAAAATATCATCCTAGATTTCCTACTAGTGCTTGAAATTTCTGATAACATTTTGAAAAAAAAAAACAAAAAGTGAAGGAAATACTTCATTATTAAAGCTTAAGCATTTCTGTATTTCAGTCTTAACTGAAACTGAAAAGTTGCTTTGAAAAGGATACAGTTCTCTAAATACTGAGAGATGTCTCCATTATACTGTAAACATGCTTAAAATACATCTTTAACAGCTAGATAAAAAGTATTTTGTTTAACAGGCTCTTTAACCAAAACCCCACCCACCCCTGAAGAAAGATGTTAAGATTCTATAGGAAATGTAAGCACAAACCTCCTTGATTTGTTGCTTTTGCTATATACTTTCTTCTATCCTGCAACTTCTCTCTAGTTTCTTGGACTGTTTCAAATTCTGGAGCATAGCACACATGCAGCAAACTACCAAAGAAACTTCGTTCATCCATTTTTTTCTTGGCCACCCTGAAAGGAATTAAATTGTATTGGCAAAACTGAGGATTTTACTTAAACTCTCTAGAATTTTAACACATTGTAACTACAGAAGGTATAAAAGAGTAACACAACAAGAGGCAGATATTGCCCTGTCCAATACCTTGCACAGTGCAGTTTTTGGAATTTTAAAAGATACACTTCAGTAAATTGCTCTGCTGGATATTCATCTAGAGCATGATACTCCTCAATGGCACCATATAATGCAAATTGTTCAACTAATTCCTTCATAACACCTAATGCAGGAACTCCTTGTATCAGTAAATAGCGAGATTCCAAGTTGATAGTGTAAACCTGAAAAAAAAACAAAACCAAAGAGTATTCAAAGACGTTCACATTCTTGCTGTATTGCAAAAGGCAGGGATTTTTTCCATGTTTTCTGTTTTTCCCCCAAGTCCTCTCAGGAAAATCCCTGTGTACTCTATTTTGACTCTGGACTCTGGTAGGGCAGTAAGTGCATGGTTATCTGGGACCTCCTCATCACTGAGCAGGAACTGAACCCAAGCTTCTCACTCAAAGCAAAACACAAATGAGAGCTGACTTTTCTGCACGAGGTCAGAATACTGCCATTTGCTGAGCAAAACCTCTCGCCTCTGGCCAGCTTCCATGCAAGACTGACTAGTAACTGGTTTGTTAGAGACACTGTCAAAATACAGAAAAAAAACCATTAAAAAACCTGTCTTGTTCACAGGCAGAGCGATCATCCAAGTGAGGAAAACTGGGTTTCTCCTCACAAAGGAAAAAAAACCAAGTATCGCAATTCTCTGGGGCAGATGGTGTGTGTGCAGAACTGTCTCCTTGCTACGATGATCCAACAGCGTACCATTTTATAACACACAGATAAAATCTGGATGCCTAGGGAAACAAGGTCTTTTCCCAGCAGGTTAAAAACTAAATCAACCACTTCCTTCTGCTTTGTGAACTGTCCAGCAGCACAGACTCTAAGGAAAGCTTTGTGACAGCTCACTACATACAACAGCGAGTTAAACCCTGAGATCAAAGGAAATTCATTCCAAGTTTGTTAAAAAAAAAAGAAAAAACCAAATATTTAGACAGCATAAGTTACACATTAAAAACAAAACAAAAAAAAGGGCAAATTCTGGACAACAACAGGAATCGCTTGGGAAATCAGCTCTCAAACTACCACCATAAAAAACAGTCTCCACAGACAAGCCACCTAAATTGTTCTTGTGACAGCAGCATATTCCCTGCCTGCATTCTGGGAACAAAGGGATTGAAATATGATTGATCTCATGTCTAGGGAGAGGAGATTCGAGTAAGGTTTTTTTCACACCTGGGACATCCATACTGTTTCTTCTGTGTGTATCGCCTGGTGCCCAGAGATGGCTGGCCTATGGTGGCCTTTGTCCCTGTGTGGATACACTAGGCTTTCTGTCCCCGGCCCATGGTATACTCTTGGAAGAGTAAAGGAACAGCTCTGAGACTTCATGAAACATAGAAGGTTTGAAAGTTTTCAGGAGGGCCGTGTTTGAGAAAAAGACGTGCCTTATGTGTATGTGCAGGGAGTAACCATTGTTTTGGCACTGATGAGGCCGCACCTCAAACCCCGTTTTCATTCAGGGCCCCTCACTCCAAGAAAGACATTGAGGTGCTGCAGTGAGTCCTGAGAGCGGGGTAAGAAGGGAGCACAGGTCCTGTTAGGAGCAGCTGAGGGAGCCAGGGGTGTTTAGCCTGCAGAAAAGGAGGCTCAGGGTTAACTTTATTGCTCTCTACAACTCCCCGAGAGGAAGCTGGAGCCAGGTGGGCACCGGACCCGACGATTTTAAATGTCTTGTCCAACCTTAGCGATTCTATGGTCCTTTCTCACACCAGTCCCATAAGGTGCCGCTACAGCTCGCTGTACACTGACCGCACACGCAAACCCCAAACTCGGCAGTTCTGCTGCGGTAACGAGAAGCTCCTGCGGTGCAGGAGGCGAGGCCCACGGCCTCCCTTCCCCTCTCCTTCCCGTCCCGTTCCCGGGAGCCGCGGGACCGGAGCCCGACCCGCCCGTGCCTCCCCCTCACCCACAGCGACCCCGACCCTCCCCCCCCCAAACCTTCACGGCGCGCGGACGCCGCCCCTCGCGGTACTTGGCGCGCGACTCGCACGCGCCCAGCTGCGCGTGATGCTGACAGGGAGCGCCCGGGCCTGGGCCACCCGCCGCCATCTTCCCATCAGCCCCTGCGCCCCGCGCCCTGATCGGCTGCCGCCGGGACCGACAACGCCGGCGTCCTCAGGGAGGAGAGGAGGAGCCAATCAGAGGCGGGCAGCGGCATATGCCGCGCCCTCATTGGCCGGCGGTGGGCCGTACCACTGCCCAGGGGTGGCGGGGGACCCCGCCCCGATGGGCGGGTCCGTGCCCGGGCACAGCGGGCGCGCAGGGCCGAGGGGCCGCGGCCATGTGGGGCTGTGGCGACCCCGGCGGAGCCGCCGCCTCCGCCACCGTCGTGCTGAGCGGGACCCGCGACTGCTTCCTGCACCTGCCGCCCGCGCTGGCCGCGCTCCTCCGCCTGCAGCAGGTACCGGGGCGGCGCCGCTCGGGGCCCGGGCGGAGGGACGCCCCAAGTGGGCGGTGAGGATTACGGGAGCGCAACATCCGCCCCGCACTCCATCCTCCCCCGCATCCCGCTGCCATGACGACGCAGCGCCCTCCTCCCTCCCCGCGGCCGGGGACCCCTCACAGGAGACCCCGAGGAACCCCCTTTCTCTCGCCCCTTGCGCAGCCCAGCGTTGTCATCCATTCCTAATAAAACACGGGAAAGATTGGAAATTATGTCCCCCAACGTGGTCTGGCACCGTGAGCATCTGCGTCTCTCTCAGTACTCCGTTTCATATTAGCTCTCACAGTAACTCGCCAGCATTAGCCGTGCATTAATAAGATGTGAATTTATCATCGAGGTGGGAGTGGTGGTCAGTCCATGCAGAATCCTCGTTGTTAGTGTACATAAATTAAATGAGTCGCTGTAGAAGCGGGCTCCCGTCACGCGGAGCTGAGGACGTGGGTCCGCTCGTAAATAACATTACACACGTGGAAACGGGAGCAAAGCCTGCTTTTGTCCCTTGTGCTATGAACACAGAACTACGGGTCTGCCAGCAGAACAGGGTGGAAAATGGCAGGAATGAGCCGGGCGAGGAGGAGGAGACGGGAACAGAGCTCAGGAGCCCTGGCACAGCCCCAGGCTCCCTCTCCCGGCGGGGTAACCTCCGGATTTCCCAAGGCCGAAAAGGGCATTTCACAACAGCAAGACAATCCAGACGTGTAAAAACCTGCTCTTTGGGGTGGTAGAAGGAGGTTGGCAGAGTTGCAAGAAATGCAGTATAAATGTGAGCTTCATTTCAGCTGCCGTTTCTGAATGTTTTACAGATTTGCTGGCAAGATAGAGGAGAAGGGAGGAGTGCAATTGCTTTGAGATCTTGTAGGGTCATTCTGTACATCGGTGGTTATGGTGGGCTCCTGCTTTTACTTAACCTGAGCAGTAAAATGAAAAGATATGACCTCTGAAAACTTGATAGAGGTTGCATATTAAAAACACCTCATTAATAAAACTGTTAAAAAGGGAGTAAATAGTTATGTTAATAGATTGCACTGAGTAAACAATAGACTCAACTGGAATCAAAAGCTAAATCTCATTGCAGAAGGTATTAGATAAGTGAGTGACAAAATGGTGTATAAAACTCAGTGCTGTGTAAAGATTAGACACTCGGGGAGAAGCTTTATCTGTGGATCATGGCCGGGCTTCGCGAACGAAGATTTGGGAAGGGCTCTACTCACGTTTGTTACAAGAGCGTTGGTGGCTAAAAAGGCCAATACGAGAGAGACGCGTCCGGTTGCAAAAGGCACAGCAGAAAGACTCCTTAGGTGATAAATTCTGCAAGACACGATTCTTTCTGCGTTGTCTTTTCTCCTCAAGAGTGATCCTGCGTGCGTTCTCAAAGGCATCAGCAGAGTTATAGATGGTGTGTCTGCAGACCTCCCGATTGGAGGCCAGAGTAGACCAGTTATGTTGATCAATATGGCCAAGGCTGAGATGTTGTTTCAGGGAGTCCTTGTATCTTTTCTTGGGGGCTCCTCTCTTGCGGCAGCCGGTGGCAAGTTCACCATAAAGCAAGATCTTAGGGAGGCGGTGGTCCTTCATCCTGGAGACGTGCCCTGCCCATCGCAGCTGTGTTCTCATCCACATGGCCTCAATACTTGTGACTGCTGCCTGTTCTAGAACAGATTAGTGACATAATCTGACCAGTGAATGTTTAGGATTGTTATCTGTGGATATAGGGAATTAAATATTACCTTTGGTAAAAGGGTCTTGGAACCATTTTGTATCTTCTCTGAAGATATTTTCAGAGTTTACAAAAAAAGTCAAATAATATTGGAAATTTTTAGAATACAGTTGAGAACAGAACAGAAAATATCACTGTTTTAACAAGTAAATCTGTGGTATATTCACAGTGTACATTGTCTCTTCGTCACTAAATTTTCGCAAAAATAACTTCCGAAAAAATTACAGAAAATACCAGTGTAAATACAGTGTAAGATACAGTCTCTCTATATGGAAACTGACTGAACATACTGAGATTCTTCAGTTTGGGATCATAATGCCTGAATGGTTCTAAAACAGATTGATAAGATCATTTTGGTCTGAGTTAATATGATTTGTGACTTATTTTAAATGTGTCATGAAAGCACTCTTGGAGACCATGCAAATGTTATAATTCCTATGAAATTTATGCATATTTTCCCCCTCATTTTGGAAATGCAATTGTGTAGTTATACTTTTCTGTAAGATATTTTTTAATACCATATAATGCAGAAGGAAGAATTACTTTTGTTACTTTAAAATAGTCCATAAAAATAAAAAACTGTTTTAAGAGTTGAAACCAACATGCACTTCTGTGTTAAGAGTTGTGCAAATAAATTGTAAAGTCCAGAAAATGCTTTTAATTCCTTTAATCTCTCTAATTAAATACAGTTTAGGTTGTCTAATAGCCATCTTATTTAGCTTGGTTTATGTTAATTTATTTTATTTCTTTGGAACTCATAGGGCCAAGCTGTGAAAGTGTCCTATGGTCATCAACCAGTATTTTTGAGCTGGATGGAAATCAGGCATCGAGGTCACCGAGATGAAAATATTGCAGAGATTAACAGACAGTTAGCAGAGAAACTTGGCATCACAGATGGAGAACAGGTTTGAAATGCATTTTTTTTTTCTTATTTAAATAAAGAATATATTGCAGGATACCTGAAAGGCAATACTTTATGAGTTAGCTGTGACCTTCTTATTTGATGTATTTAGACAGTTACTGCATTTATGTCTGCTCATGAGAAACGTTAACTATCCTGAAATGTTTCAAACACGAAAAGATTTTCTCATTAAATCATTAACTATTGCCTAAATAATGCTTGTAGGTAGGTCTTAGCAGGGATGGAACAGCTATTCTCAGTGCCATTAATTTTAGGAAAATACACTTGTAGGCAATTGAACAAGTTGGTAATGGGAATATTTTGCTAGGAGTTCCCATTGTTTTAAAGTAACTGTTGACTTATTGCATATTTCTTCTTGTTTAACTTATATGGGGGTTAAATTTTCATCCCTTTTTCTGCCTCTTCACCATATGTCGCCATGTACCCTCTTCCTTTGAACTTATATTTAAATTCATCTCTTACTCTTGGACACTGTTAAACCTCTCGTAAATTACTCTGTCATTGGGCAGAAGTTTAAGAGATGCCCAAGAGGCAGGCAGAGTTTTATGACATGGGACTACTAAAACCTCTTAATCCAAGGGGTTTTTTTGTATTAATAGGTGGAGATTTAAACAAACAAGAATAGAAAGGTATTGCTCTACACAGTGTTGTTGTGTAGTATATTCATATATGCCTGTTCTCTCATATGCAAAATTTTATTCAGCATAGTGGAAGGCATCAAAGAATGTGATTCAGAGCAGTGTATTATCTTACCTTGTTTACTGTTTTAACGTATTTTCTCAAGAAATTATGTGTCTCTTTGCAGAAATTTCTAATTTAATAGTTCAGCAGCAAGGTATCTACCCATTTCAGTACTAACAATTAATAGCCTTCAACAGGAAAACAATGGACAAAGGAAACGCAAGAAAACCTCACTCGGCTTTGCCTGGAAGTAATCATCTGTACAGTCGAATGAATATGTGAATAATTAGGTAGTTTTGCCATTATTTTGGATTCAGGAATTGCGTGTTTGCTGTGTTTCATAACAGTAAGATCTTCTATTTGCCATGTTGGGGAAAAGATTCCTCTCAATTTTTACTTCAGACTGAGGGCCTAGAGGAATTTAAAATCGATTGCTACTTTTATAAAAGGTGACCTGATATAATTCTCTCTCTCACAATGCAGGTAACTAGTTTTATCTCAAGAAAGAAATAACAAAGTTTGTTTAAAAAACCATGACATGATGTTGTTTGAAAATTATTATTTTTTGTCAAATGAAACCTTTGGTAAAAAATGACTTTTGAAATACGTGTTTAATGCATTCTGAAAAACCTAAGCCACAATAGCTTTTATCATTGTTCCTGATACACAGGACATTAAAACTGTTCTGTGGAGATGAGGCTGCATCCTATGAAACCATTCATAAAGGACCTGGGCTTGTTTTGTATTGTACTTTTTCCCTAATTTTTCGGCTGGTGTTGCCTTGTCTAAATTTGTGCACAACTCAATGAATTTTTCAGCTTTCTAAAGTCCTGTACATTTAAAAATAAAGAATAAAAAATGTAAAGATGGTTATCTGATCAAGGTGTATTAAAAATTGATTGTTTGTTATCAGCTGATCAAGCTCTTGATGCTTTTCACATTCATTCCATTCATGGTTTGTTGAAGTCTCCAAGTGTGCCCAATGCCATCCATTTCCAATCCATTGAGCATTAATCTGTTTATGAATTACCTGCTGTCATTAAGATGATGTATGTTCCAAGTACTGAAAACATATAATGAAGGAGATGTCAATTTTCTACTTGAAATAAAAGATGGAGCTTTTATATGCCTAAAAATAAGAAGCTAAATATTTTGGTGTTACTTTTGTCAGGTATTTCTTGAACCCTGTTCCCATGTCTCCTCCTGTCAGCAAGTAGAAGTGGAACCACTCACAGCAGATGATTGGGAAATTCTGGTAATAAAACCCTTTCTAGTGTTCATGTCTTTGTCTTACAGATGATAGAGGTTCTGACACAAGCAGTTTTTTGCACAATGCCCCATTCTTTTCAGCCCGTAAGGAAATACTAAATGTGGGGTTTAGTTATATTTTATATTTCAAATGGTTTATTAGAAAGAGATGTACAGTTTTTATCTTCAGACAAATGCTAAAAATGTATGCAGTATTTAATTTATAATGATATCACATTTTCCCAGGAGCTGCATGCTTCCTCTCTTGAAAAACATCTTCTGGACCAGATTCGAGTAGTGTTTCCAAGAGCCATCTTTCCCGTATGGATTGAACAGCACACTCATGTTTACATCAGAATCGGTAAGCAGAGCTGAAGGCTCTCATGGCACCTCCAGGAAGGTGTTTTGCTGGAGTGAATGCATTCATTGGCATGTTTTGTTCATACTTAGGTGCACTTATGCCAGCAGCCCCATATGGGAGATTAGAACCATGCACGGAGCTTCTGGTATGTCCCAAAACACATGGACCGGAGGAGAATGTCACCAGCACACCTTCCACAGAAAATGACATCTTACTCAGAAATTTTGTGAAAAATAACATGGAGCAAGAAGAAACAGTAAAGGATCCTTTTGCCAAACAACCTTACTTAAAGCCTAGAATCCTTGAACAGAGTAAGGCTGATGCAAACATGACGTTTGGCTCAAATGTTCTCCCAAATATATGGAATTTCATGGGGAACATTTTCTCTCATACATCTTTGCAGAAACAAAAGACTTTGTGTGATAAAGATGAAATGAGCACCTTCAAAGACAAGCTGCTGAACTTAATTCACATGGATTCCATTTTTAGAGTATGTCAGTCCCAGCCTCCCAGCGTACAGAATGCATCTGCCACTCATGCATTTCTGAAATGCAATGCTATTCATGTTTTTCCTTGGAATTTAGAATTTATTGATTTGGATCCAAATCCTGTAGTATCTTATGGGAAAATTAATGAGCTGCTTTCCCCGAGACAGCGTCACCAAGAAGCAAAGCAAAATCTGCCACTTGAAAAGCAAAAGCCTTTGACTAGTACGCAAGACAAAAGTCATTCTGATTCTAATAGCAGTCAAGCATCCAGTGAGGGATCTGTTGTTCAAATCGTTTGGAATGGATTTGAAGACCTAAAGAGTGTCATAGAGTATGGCCACAATGAGGAAACCCTACATGTTGGAAGAGTTTGGGTCAGTTTGAGCATGCTATCTTTTGGGCCTTTTATTTGATAGTATTTTCTTTTGGATAATTGTGGAACTGGCTACTTAATGTGCAGTTTTGGGACTTTGTGTTAAGCTCTGAAGTAGAGTATACTAGAATCAAGTACTGTTTACTAGAGCTGTGCTTTGCAGTCATTCACCAAATGAGGAAAGTGCTTCAGTGTTTCTGGAGGGAATACATGCTTGTTTCAAAATCTGTAGGTAGCTATTGTATTCATGAGAAAGTGGAAGTATCTACTTACATACATTCAGTACTGCAAAATGAGGCTCTTACCATCACTTAGCACTTTGAAATGTGCCTTGCGCTCTAGGGGTCATCAAACTGTAAAGTAATGGGATCACGTATCCCAGGTGCTACATGATGTTTGCGAGTCTTTTTATATACTCTTTAAAATACATCTTAAAAATTAATATCAAATAACTGGTTTTTATATAATTTACACTGTTTTAGTTTTTATATGCCATTTGGCAAGGTGGCACAAGTCCTGGTGTGGAGATACTGATATTTCAGGTTGTTCTGGCAGAACTACTGCCTGATTATGTTCTTTCTTTCCTGGAAGGACATGTAGGATTAACAAAAATAAATAAGATGTGCTCCAAATCACCATTTGACTATTTCGACATAATACACTTCTCACCATTCACTTATTGCTCTGTTAAGAATGAGAGCAAGAACCTGCAGTGGTCTTTGCCATGAAATCTTTTGAGAGACATAACAATTTTCCAAATGCCACCAATCATAAAGTCTCTCAGACTTAATAAATATTTATGAAATGTTTTCAATTTGGATATAAGTCTAAAATAACACAGAATGATTGAAAAGGAGTTTTATTTTTAAAAGGGTAAACTGACTAGTAGGATTTAGGGAGACTGGATTTTCTTTCTCTGTGCTTCAGCCGTGCTTAGTTCTGGTCTCTGTAATGGCCTATGTATATTTACCTGCCCATGTAAAATTAATTTTAATCAGCAAATGAAAATAGCATTGCTGTTTTTCTCCAATACTGAAAGCATTCTTACAACTTAAGAGTTCCTCCTAAATCTTTTTTTTCAAGCTTTTGGTTTTTATTTAAAGAAGTTAGAAGAAGATCAGCTGTAGTGAGCACTTTAACGAATAGGATAAAAGGTAATCAGAAGTGTGCATGAAAGAATGAGTCTGATACCACCATCAATTTTATGGTTTCCTTCTTAATTCTCTTGCAGATTATGAACAGATCAATGATCAAATGTAGAGGTTTTATTAGTGATGGAGAAATTCTTCGTATGATATATGCAATGTTATAACTGTTTTACTTTCTAATGCTTCCTTTTGTTTAAAATATTTCAGATTCCCGATGGTCTGAGAAAAAAACTAAGTATTGAAATACACTCAGCAGTCCGAATTCAGTCAGTTGAATCTATTCCTAAAATTCCTGTGTCTCTTATGCTGCAACCCAAACAGAACTTAGTGAGTTGATATTCTTGGTCACATATTTGTTCATGTATTGGAAAACTGGTAATGTTGCTCTGGTCAAGTTGAGGGGGGGGTATGTTTATTTGTTTTAATTTGTTATGTGATGGTTTGAAGGTTGTCTGTTGTGTATGACATAACTCCAAAGGAATTTCTTTTTTTGTATAATTCCCGGCTTTTTCTTTTGGCTGTGTATGTTAAAGTTAATAGGTTGCTATGATCTACTTAAACAGGGCTTATCTAGTATTTTGTATAATTTTGGTTTAGACTTGGTAGATATTTCGAATAGTTTAGTTTAGCATGCTAATTGTAAAAATTTTCTATTTAAAGGAACTGGTAGAGGTCACAGAGGGTGGAGGAAACAGGACTTGTAAATTTTGACTTTTTGTTTCCTGAAGCTGTTAGAGGAATGCTGTATAGCACATTTTAAATCATAGGATCTTCTATTTTCTCAAATTGTGAGAATTTCTGATGTCTTTCATGTTAAAAAGGATGTTGACATGAAGGAGAAATGGCATTGGTAGGGGAAAGATAAATTTTCTGTTAAATTAGGTCTCAAACATAAACACTGTCAAAATAGCAACAATAACCAATAATAATTTTGCATCAGACCCTCATTTGAAGTACATTAATATGGGTTCAAACCTAGCAAATTTGAAGTGTATGCATTTAAACCTATGAAAACAAACACAAAAAATACAGTTAAAGAGTAAATATCCAGTTTAAGTCATCTGGATGAAGACATCCTGATATTCTCCAGACATTGCAGTGCCCAGTGGATTTCTGAAGAAAGACAGTTGCAGTGAAATTATCATAATTTTTATGTACTGTTTAGTTTTTGACTTTCTTTTAATTTTTCTTTTCCTCATGCTAAAGATTTAATCTTCTAGAGTTATATCATTGAATCCCTCTGGTTTTCCTGTAAGAGGGACACATTCTGAATGAGCATCTGTGACAGTAAGAACACACTTAGTATCAGTTCTCACAGTCCATAAGATGTAGCTCTGGAATGATGTATTTCTCTGTAAAGTACTGTATGCTTGTTACTATGTAACACTGGCCTGATTATTTCCCATGTTAGCTACCCCTCAAAGCTTTAAGTACAGCACTTGCCATCATAACAAGGCTTATGCAGGTTTGTTCTTTATCCCCAATATTTTAATTTGGTTTCTTACCTACAGAAAAATGGTTGAACTGCATATTTTTTCTTGTTGGAGATCAAAGAAGTATTAGTTGGACTTGATGATCCTTGTGAGTCACTTTCAACTGAGAAGATTCTGTGATATTCCAACAGTAATCCGCTAAAATTGTAAAGAAAAAGTAGTTATATGTGCTTTTGTATGTTTTGAATACAAATTTCTGCCTTTCCTTTCTAATTCAGTTGAAGTTTTTTTAGTTCTTGAAAAAAAACAGACAAATGCAGAAACAATTATGACAGTAGCTTTAGTTTTCCTTTCTAACACTGCTTCCAAGATCTTCATTGATTCCCCTTTTCTAGATAGGAGTTTTGCTTCTCTGATTAGGAGCTTAGCCAGGAGATACGCGATCTAGACTCAATTTCTTCTCCTATTCCATTTATCTAGGTGATCTGGGATAAGTCACTTTGCCTGCCTGTTGAAGTTTGTTGGTGATGCCCCTGAATTGGATGAGCCCAGGGTTCCTTATATAGGAAAAGGGTATACAGGGAAGGGAGGGGTGTAACAAGCACCTCAAATAAGTCTCAGGTCAATATTTGTGCATACCTTCAAACCCAGGAGCTGAGCAGTGCCCTTGGGTCTGGCAAGACAGATGAGTAAAACAAAAATAAAAGCTTTTCCTTGCCCTCACATCCGTGTTCCGAAGATAAAATCTTTAGAGATTCAACTGTGGCCGTAGCAAGGGCTAGACAGGTACTTTCCATAGAGCAGGTGGGAGAAATTGTGCTTGTTGGCAAAATGGTCTTTTCTAAATTACTAAAATTTCTATATTTTCTTTTATCTCTCTACTGCCATAAAAGAAACAAATGCCTTGTGCATAGGAGGAAAAGATTTTTATTTACACCTAGTTTTGTTTTATTTACATCTTTCCTTTTTCCTATTTAGCATAAAGATATACATGAAGATGATGTTAAATGTGCTTTCAGTTCTTGGCTGCAGGATTCAAGTACTGATGATCACCCGTGGATGATGACAAGCAGAGACTGTATACATCTATCTTTTAAAGAAGGCAAGGATAATACTGTCCTGTGCTGTAGCTGTCTTAACTGTCCACTATGGAATTTAGTTAGCCACTATACCATTTAATTTCTATATACACCATTTAACATAACTGATACTTCTTTACATGGAAAGTGTAAGCTTGAAGCATGCTTTAAAAATGATTAATGTTTTTTATTCTTTCGGATTCTATCATAATAATACTCTAATCTTGTTTACCTTGTGAGGAATGAAAACTGAATTTATTTGGAATTTTAATAGTTGTTCCTTGGGTTTTTACAGGAATGGAGGAGTTTGTCCTTAGTGTAGTGCATCCTGTGCACACTGAAGAGAATAAGTCTGAGAATATTTTTATACTGAGTCCCAGTTTGCTGCAAAAGACTAATATACAAGTAAATATCACATAGTCAGGTATCAAGTAATTTAAATTGTTATACTTGTGTCGAATATATTGCATTTTATATATTATGTATTTTTGTTTCCCTTTTAAAATAAATAATGTTAGTCTATTCATGAAATTATATCTTTGTTATTTTGTAGCTTAAGATTCCAGGCATGCAATGCTTGTCACTGAGTTTCATAGTCTTTATCAAAATGTCAGAAAAATCAGTTAGAACAGAGGAAAGTCAGTACTGTCCAAGTTTGAACATCTTTATACTTAGTTGTTTTTTCCTTTGCTAACTAAACCACTTCACAGTCTCTAGCAGGAACAGTATATTGTTCTGCCAAACATGAGACATATTCCCCATTCAAACCTACCACTCTCACCCTGCCTTCTCTCTGATACAGTTTCTGTGCCTTTTGTTTCTTCTATGTTTCCTTTCTTGGGAGATTAATCCATTAATAATCCTGCTTGAACCAGTGCCCATTACTCCAGGTTATAGGACTGGGATAACAATTTTCATCTTTAAACTCATACAGTGAAATTTTAGTGGAGAATTATGGTGTCTTTTTGGCTGTTTAGAATAGAATTTTTCTGCAAAATTTAGGATTCCTGTTAAAAGAAAAAGTAAAACCAGAGCTTTATTTTTACTAGTAGTAAAGTACAATAAGGCTTCTACAAATTGTTCTAGTGAGTGGTACTAAGATGAAAGGGCAAAATGCATTTCTTACTAGCAGTGTGAGCATCTCCTACCAGCCTGTTCTTGTCTGTGAACCTCTGTTAACCCTGTGTGCCTGCCCAGCTTTCCATACTAACTCCTTGGTGAACAAGACTGAAAAATTCATGCCAGGTGTTTTGTCAAATCCGATCTTACCCAGATCAGATTCCTGATCTCTTTCACTGTTCTACCTCACGAGTACTCCTGCCAGCACAACAGGTGAGGGCACAGGAGAAGGAACAAGTTACAGGTACAGTTTGTACAGTCTGGTACAAACAGCAATTGACTCAACATCTAATCATAGGTTATTACATCACTGTCAACACTGGATTGTATTTTGGAAATAATTGTATCTATTCCATTTTACCATTGCATGCATCTTTCAAGCGCAGTAAGCTTCAGCAAAGCATATATGCAACATTTTCTTTACACAATTCCAAAAATGGCTAGTCACTTCTATATCCTTCTTCTGTAGTTATATTTAATCTAAAGTCCTAACTCTTTCCTTTTAGGTTCTTTTACATCCTGTAACTAGAAAAGCTGATGGTGACAGCCAGCCACCTATGCGTGATACAGACAAGAACCTTCCATACCACAAACTAAACAGTTTAGGGTGAGATATTTTCATAGAAGAAAACATGGGAGGGAATGGGAATGAGAATTAGAAAAAAATACTATTGGTGGAAATTCAGAGTTTTTGAAAACTAAACCAGATTTAAGCAAAACTCTGCATCTTTTGGTAGATCAGGTTCAGACCTTATTGTAATTCATGTAGATGGTTTATTTTGTGCTTGAATGGTCTTACTGCAGTGAATAGAAAACTTCATGTGACTAAAGGCACTCACACTGAAAATTTTGGCATGTCTGTCAACAGAATGGGAGGTCTCAGAACTGAGACCACATCAGAACTGGAACTCAGAACTGGAGACTTTTGGAAGAAATACTGATAGTTCAGCAGCTCCTGCTGTTGTTCTAAGCAGTATAAACAGACTTCTACGTCTTCTGAAGTTTCCAAATAAAGCAAAATTGTCAATCCTCTTCCCACAATAATTTCAACCTGTTTACTTGTTTAACTGTATTTGATAGTATGGGTCTGAAAGAATTGTGGTTCCTAAAAGTTTTGCCAGAATTGTCAGCTGAGGAGAGAAATGCAGAGTGCTGTAGTCCTTAGTACAAGGGAAAACAGTGGCACTGTGTAGCAAACTTGAAGTAGGGATGGGGCAGAGGAGACTTGAGAGGCTCGGAGTGTTGTGATAGTATGCTGTCAGTGTTATGAAGGGCAACTGAGGATATTACTGAGACATTGTGAAAAGCAACTCAGCATACCATTATTGAAGAGGGAAGGGGAACTGATACAGGGGCAGTCTGGTAGTGATGGGATGTGGTAGGGTAGAGATGTTAGAAACTAGGATTCATTTGTTCATTCCGTTTCTCATGGAACAACACTTCCTGTTTAAAGTTCAAATACAAAACTGGTAGCTTTGCTGTTTGTGGACCTGACAGGAGCGCTATTATATTGAAAGTCACGAAGATTGAGGGTGAGTGAAGGATAAGGATGTCTTCACATGAACTATGGGTTGTTTCATTTCTGAAAAGACTGAGTTTTCTGACCCAGCCATGCTCCATGTTTTACCAGTTCGTTACATTCCTTTGTAGGTTGTTACTCAGACACTCAAGTAGATGAAGCCCCAAAAGATGGTTAATTCTTAACTTCTGAGACCTACCTTATGCTAGTGTGGTGTGGTGTACAATAATAGATAGCACTTCCTTTGTGGGCATGTTCTGTAATGTCTGTCTGTGTCCCCTGTGTCACCACTGCAGAATAGAAGTGCTGTCTCTTCAGACTGAGTTGTCTTCATCTTTTTGTTGAAGGGGTGAAGTACATCACAATCTGTCAGCATTGTAACTTCCCCATAGTGCAGGCTATTGCTGCTTCTGTGTGTATGGATGCTACTCTAGGCCATTTAATGTCTCCTTTACCTTACAGAGGAGTGGACAAATTAGGAACATCTTTATTTGAACACATAAGCCACAGTCTTCTGGGGCGTCCTTTGTCTCAAAAGCTGGCTGCTATTGCTGTGGGACTGCGGAGTGGAGGAGTGCTTCTCACAGGAGGAAAGGTACATACTTCACTACTTCCACTTTCCAAACCCTTCCAGATTGTTTTCCATAGTTTTCATTAGTTTTCTTCGTTACCACACAAATTCCAAAGAATAAAGAACAAGCTGAAAAAACAGCAAGTTAGCTGAACAGCGGTAATTCAGCAAAACATCGTCTTATAGATATGTATACAGATTATATGCACACTTCTTCAGCATATATTCATATTTCATGTGTATATATATAAAAAGTGTAAGTTTTAAAGACTGCTACCAATGCAATTTCAGTTTGTTCCCATAGGGGATTAATCTACTTCGTGTTTATAGTATAATAAACACCTCTTGTCTCTGAAATATTGAATGAAAATAAGATAAAATATTTTCTCCTGTGTTCTAACATAAAATGGCAATGGAGTTGATAGTATTATTTTCCTGTTGCCTCTTACAGTGATCCATTTAATACTATATTCCACTGAAACTAGAGCATGTCTTAGGACTGAACTCAGTGGAATCAGAACACTATATGTAGTCGATGTATCCACTCTGAATTTGTTTATATTTGTTTCACTCTAGGGCTTTGGTTTCTGCCAAGTGATACAAAGACAGAATACCATATATGCTTTTAGTGAGGAATAATCCCAGCATGTGTACAGCTTTCCAAGCTTGTTTATTGGTGTATACAGAAGGAACTGGTACTATCAATTTACACCAGCTCACATTTACTTTTGTAGGGAAGTGGAAAGTCAACGTTAGCAAAGGCCATCTGCAGAGAGGCTTTCGATAGACTGGATGCTCACGTAGAAGTAATTGATTGTAAAGCTTTAAGAGGTATGATGATATTTTTTTAAATCTCAAATGTTTGCTGTACGATAAAGAGGCACAGTTATGAAGTTACTCTATTTAGTCTTAATAATTATTCTAGTATTATTGCTGCTTTTGAAGGATATTCGATGCCTCACAATTATTGTCTTCAACAGTCTCATGAAAATACAGCTGCTGTAAACTTCTGTCACACTTTTATCAGTTTCTGTTCCATGTACTACCACCATATTCAAACTATGCTTGCCATGCTTATTTCTAATTGTTGCAAAATAGGAAGAAGCTGCAAGTTGGACTGTGTGTTTTTTCAGCTGTGCCAGGTGAAGCGTTTAAGGATACCTGTATTGCTTGGTGAAAGAATGATACAGGCACCAAAGAATGATCAAAAGACCAACTGAAACCTGATTATGATGACATGTTTACTAACCTAGTATATTTGGCAATAGTCGTCTAGTGCTCGTGATTATAGATGATGATGATGATGAGATGAATCCTTATGTTTTGTGACTTCAAAATGAGTATTTTGCACAGAGATGGAACAGGACAAAAAAGGATATTTTTTTTGCTCTTTCATTTGCTGGGTTTTCTAAACAGTCTTGCTGTTTTAGAGCAGAAGATACTTAACTGTTTTCTTACAGAGCCCTTATGTTGCATGGATGTACTCTTTTTGCTTAAGATCCTACTAAGCTTCTTGCTTCAGAGAAAAAGGGAAGGATTGATGAAGAGCTTGGTCCTTTGCTCTGGAAAATTCTTCCAATTACAGGACTCTTTAGTAGCTATTTGAGAATAGCTGCTGATCCCGCTATTTAAGAAATGCTGCTGATACTGCTCTGGTTTTAACTGTCTGGAAATTAAACCTGTAGGCTTCTATAGCAGTTAGTGAAAGATGATTAATCTCATTTTAGGACGTCTATCCTTCTAGTACTTTTTTATAGAAGATGTAGACTCCTTTCTTTACTGATTGTTGACTGGTTTAATCTTGGTACCTGGATTTATAGGTGTAAAGTTAAGCTAGACAAATCAAAACATTGTGGTATTATGTGAGCAAGATATAGTCAGTCTGATTTTTTTTTCCTGATACGTTCTGTCATTATAATAGTATTTTGTTTTAGGAAAAAGATTAGTAAACATAAGGAAAAACGTGGAAGAAGCTTTTTTAGAGGCAGCATGGAGACAACCATCCATTCTTTTGATGGATGATCTTGATCACATTGTTGGAGTACCTTCTACACCAGAGCATGAGAACAGCCCTGAAACCGTTCAAAGCAATAGACTTGCTTATGGTAATACTGTGCTACCTGTGTCTGGATGCAAATATAACGTAACTTAGAATTTCTTGCACTTGAATTGTCCTCTCTTACCTGAACAATTCTGTCTGTATCATTATTGCCTCTGGACTGTGTGATATTAAGGCAGAGATGCACAAATTTTGCTATTTAGGCCATTTGTGGACCACTAGCTGAATCAAAATAGTCCACTCTGGAACTTGGAGTAGTGCTTGCCAGTAGTGGTTCCACCACTACTGCTGATGGTGATGCCTGTTGTCAGTACCACTGCCAGTGGTAAAGGCTTCTCCTTTTTTTTTTTAAGTTGTTCATGCACTCAAATACATTGCAACTGATTACAAACTGCAGATGAATCTTTAACTGACAACTATTGATAATTTGATTGTGTGTTTCCCATAATTATTTATAATTACAGCAATACATAAATTTGATACTTACTGATGTTTAGAACCAGCTTCTTTTAGATGAGTACCAACTTCTTTATCGTTGTACTTGGTCTACTTTTAAGAACTTCTAATTTGTTTTACAATGTAACAATCCACAGATGTTAAAAATAAGACAATCAATTGTAGTTTGATATCCTATATTATACAGTTCCTTTTTATTCCCAAAAATCTAGGCAGGGTTAAGTCACAAATTAAGTTTAAATGATCAAGATTAATAAAGCCATAGCAAAAATATTTCCCATTTCTTAGCTCACTTTGAGGAAGTTAGTGTAATTTTTATTGAATTACTTTTGAAGTTCAGAAAATCTTACTATAATTTCTTTTTTTAAAATGTGCTCTTAGGTTACATGCAGAATTGTTTGGGTTTCTTACTACTTTATTTAAAGGTATAATGCATACAACAGAACTTTAAAGATTATTCCTTGAAGATCTACTTTGCACCCTTAATTTCTCTTACTTTCATGTATTACTTTTTCTTAGAGTGCTTGTGTTCTAGACTCAACATCTGTTTTTATTCTTATATTTTTTTCCTTTTTGTTTGCATGGAAGGAATAATAGCACACACAAAAAATCCATGTTTAACATCTTGTGGTAGACATCATCAGTGATGTAACAAAATTAACTTTTCAAGAGCACTTCTGATGTCATTTTATTAATGGAATGTACTCTTCTAGAGAAAATTACTATACATCTTTTTTTTTTAATTAAAATAAAACTTGTAAACATAGGAATAAAAATAATATGTTATAAGCTGTTACTTCTTGTGTGCCCTTATGCTGCTCTCCAGTACAGTAAAAATATCTGTTCTGAAATGCAGAATCTTTTGTTATTTTGTAATTTATGGAGCAATATCTTCTGTGTTTAGTTTTGAAAGATCTAATCAAAGAAGTTATTTCCATGGGGAGTTTGATTGCATTAATTGCCACAAGTGAGTCTGAACATTCCCTTCATCCTTCCCTGGTTTCAGCACAAGGAACACACATATTCCAGTGCTTCAAATGTATCCCATCTCCGGATCAGGTAAATTCAAATAAAATGGTTGAAATGTACTTTGCCCTTTCATCAGCCTCAAATATGATGTTGGAGCAGCTGCAAGAATAGTAGGTTACACCCGAAGATGAGGAAAAAAATCTGGAAATCTTAGAAATTCTTTCATGATGCTTAAATACCTCAGAACTTACATCTGTCAGTATAAAGTTTTAAACAAAAAAAGTAATCCAGCAAAACTCCCAGTTGACCCCACCCTTCAGTATATTCAGAGGATATTTCAATTCAACGTAAAATAAGTCATCTAACACAGGTGAGTTAGGCATGTTACATAGAAGGGGATGCTAAAGGAGCAACTCTGTAAAAACATTTAAGTCACCACAGGTAGATAAGTGAAATTAAACCTAGGTGTGTTTTTTCAAAGCTTAGAGAAATAAGTATGTCCTCAGAAAGTGTATTTTAGGTGTTATTAAAACTAAATGTTAATTTTATGGGAAGGTTTTTGGATTTCTATATTAATTGTATCCCTTTACTTTTGAATGTAGTCCATTTTAAAAAGAAAAATGGATAGAGAGAAGAATAAACAGTATTAACTTTCTTGCAGGAGAAAGCAAATATTTTGAACCCCTAATGATTCATTTGTATTTAACATGAGTTGTTCCTGTTGGTGTGTCTTCCATCACAGGCCAGCTATTAAAAGCCACTGAGGAGGAGATTCTATGTTAGATACAGTGTAGCTTTCTCCCACCTCCTGCAAGTCTGCTTTTATTATGTTTAATACTAATACACAAATAAGGATGAGACATCACTGGAAAAGTCAAGATCTCAAAAGAACATTATCCCAAGTATTTTTATCTAATGCAATGTATTTCATCTCAAATGTATTTTCTACTCATACTGACAAGATGAAAGGGGTTCATTTTCCTGTGAAACAGAAAAAATGGGTTTAAAACAGTGGAATCCGGGGGTGGAGGGTTGTTTCATTATTATTGTTGGATTTAAGGTAGCCATGGTGAGGTAAATACTTAAAGTTATAAAACTGGTGAATTTATTGAAATGCACCTTAAGAACTAACATTGATTTATATTCATGCCTGCTCAAGTTTGTTATTTGAAGGTTTGGTGACATGCAAATATTTAAGGAAATTTTAGTAACTTACCCGTATTTACTCTTTGAATTCCTGAACTCCATATGTATAGTTAACCCAATATATGCTTGCTGCACAATTCTGTTTTTCAGAAGCAAAGATGTGAAATGCTGTATTCCATAATAAAAAAGAAACTGAATTCTGATCCTAAGAACTTTTCTGATCTTGACCTCCAATGTATTGCAAAAGAAACGGAAGGTTTTGTTGCCAGAGATTTTACTATGCTGGTTGATCGTGCTGTTCATACCTGTGTTTCTAACCAGAATGCATTGGATAATGGTGGTATGTTGAAAACAAAATATCTTTTTTCATGGTCTCGCTTCTGTTATCCAGAAGTGGTGGATTAATACAGAAATAAAAAACCAGTTTTTATGTTTAAAATTTATTTAATTATTGCATATTCTGAGGAATTCGTTACTGGTAGTCTTTGTGTTGTTTCTTTTTTGTTCAGGATTTTTTCTTTCATTTTTAAGCAGAATTGAACCTATCAACTGTGGATTTTCAGAAAGTTCTGAAAGATTTTACTCCAGTAGCTCTGAGAAATGTCAACCTTCATAAACCTAAAGACCTTGGCTGGGACAGGATTGGAGGCTTAAAAGATGTGAAGCAAATACTCACAGATACCATCATGTTACCTGCAAAGGTACCAAGTTCTTTTAAATTAGTTAGTTGAATTTTGTACATAATGTTAGTAGGGAAAGAATGATTTTTAAGGTGTGACACACTGTTTGATAGAAAGAAGACAGACATGATTTTAAGCTACTTTTGTAGCTTTCCATTCTTCAACTATCTTCAGCTACTGAAAACCTCCTTCCCCTTCCCTCTTCCAAATACAAAAGGCAATGGCTTGAGCTTTACTACAGATCAAGTGTTGCTCTAGAGTATGGGAGTATAGCTACAGTCTCTGTTGCAGGGTTTGTGATTAAGCTCTCTGAAGATAACAATTCCAACTGTCTTCTGCAGTGCTTTTGCTAGAGGAGTATTTTCTTTTGGATGAATGCCAGTCCATCAGTCCCCCTTGGTTTTACTTTGGCCTTTCTACTTTGCTTTAAACTTGAACATTGAGATGAGCCATCCATTTCAGTCTTCAGAGAAATGACTGAACAGAATATTTGATTATACAATTCAGTGTTATAATAGGAATTTAGAAGTAGCAGCATGGACATTATAAAGCTGTCCTGTTTCATCTTGGTAGAAAATCCCACTTGCTTGTATTTTAGGTATTTATTAAACCTCAGAACCCACTACAGCCCCAGGTAAACTGACAACAGTCCAGATGAGCTGCTGGGATAATAGTGTGGAAAAAATAAATGACACACATTCTGTTTATACAAAAGTGATCAGCAGTCAGTGATGTTACAGTACATTGAGTATTTTAGAATATATCACATTGAAACTCTTTTCCAGTATCCAGAATTATTTGCGAACTTGCCCATACGACAGAGATCAGGAGTCTTGCTGTATGGAGCACCTGGAACAGGAAAAACACTGTTAGCAGGAGTAGTTGCAAGAGAGAGTGGAATGAACTTCATCAGTATCAAGGTAGCAAGATTTTAAGATTAATTGATTAATTTTATTGACTGAATGAAATAGCTTAACATAATACCTGAAATTATGTGCTTGTGATGGCAAAATAACAAAGTAAGAAACTCACATTCAAAATTTTGCATGTCTCTGGATATCCCACTATCCGATTTCTGGAACTTCAGAGTTTTATTACTGAGACTCTTTTGTCTACTTACTCATTATGCAGAATTATAAAATCTAATTAGATCTTCTTAGTTTCTCATTTTTTAAAGACCTTGGATTTTGTTTCCACTGGACAGTGAAGTTGAGCAATATATTTAAAATAGATTTTTAAAATAGAGGGTAAACCTTTGCCTTGTGATACTGTAATACATGTTCTACTATAGTAGAAAAATGGAAATGACTACTTTAAAATAAGTTGGAACGCTCAAAAATTTTTTTTGACTTATCTAGACCCCTTGGCTCTTCTGTTCAAAGATGCCACTGTCTTGGTTACAAGAAAATTCACTCTAGTACACAAAATCTATGCTGATGTTTAATTACACATTAAAACTAAGAGGCGTGTCATGAATGTTCTTTTCTGATTATTTTTTAGGGACCAGAGCTGCTCAGCAAATACATTGGAGCAAGTGAACAAGCAGTTCGAGATATCTTTAACAGGTTCGTTTTGTGAAGATTTGTGATATTATCAGTTAATTTTATTGGTTGAAGCACCAAGAAGTAATTTTGTTGTCTGAGGAGAGACGTGGCATCAGATCACAAAATCATCTGAAATAATCAGTTGTCCTGAACCAGATGTGTGTCTCGGCAGGTTCAGCTGGACCATCATTATTCAAGAACTGCATGTTTGGCTCCGATCAGGAGTGCACTTCTGAAGCTGAACTCCCAGTTCTCTCCATTTTACAGCACACTGGTTCACATCACCGAACTGCCTTGGAAAACACATGCTGAATTCCTTTCAGATGATTCCAGAAGACAGTCAAGTGTGCTGCAACTAATAATGCACACTTAATATGTAGGATCATATTAGACTTGGTATTGAGTTCCTCAGTGCCAGTAAAACCTACCGTTTAACAAGTTTGCCCTTACTGGCTCTCAGTGCTCAGTAATGTAAACATATCCTGCATAACCTTTGTTTCTCACGTAGTTTATTGTGTGGGCAGTCTTTTTGTTAGATATGCGTAAGCCAAGATCTCTGAAGCGATTGGATTTTAGAACTTTCATGTTTATTAAAATGACAGTTAAGCACTTCTGAAATGATAAAGCAAGTGCAAAGTATGTCATAAAAGTGAGTGGTGATTACATTGCAATCCAGTTAGTCAGAACCTCTTAAATTCCACAGAAAACAGATTTTCTGTTCTTTCATTAAAGATAACTGTCCTCTGAAGCAAAAACAATTACCTTTAATATTTCTAAGCAATTTTACGTGTGACTGAAACTTAACTTGCCTTTTTTTTTCCCCTTTTAGAGCTCAGGCAGCTAAGCCTTGTATCATTTTCTTCGATGAGTTTGATTCTATTGCTCCACGCCGAGGTCATGACAACACAGGAGTTACTGACCGAGTGGTTAACCAACTGTTGACTCAGTTAGACGGTGTGGAAGGCTTACAAGGTAACAATTCATCCGTGTGCTCCTTTTTAAGCAAAGGTTCAGCAGATGTTAATGGCGTTTTTCTGCACTTTCCTAAGGGGTTTATGTGCTAGCTGCTACTAGTCGCCCGGATTTGATTGACCCTGCTTTGCTAAGGCCAGGTCGACTGGACAAGTGCCTGTACTGTCCACCTCCTGATCAGGTGAGTAAAACAAATAATTTCACATAAGAGGCAAGGGAAAAAATCAAACTAATGGTCTTTGTTCTCCTTTATATTATCCTTTATATATATCTCCTTTATATTATTTTGTTCTCCTTCATATTATCCACTACATATTTAGTGGCATTTCAAACCTGGACTAAGTGGAATTGATTGTCCAACTCCATTTATACAACGGTATAAATTCTGACTTCAGTGTCAATGTGTTCACATAAAACTGGGGAAAGAAGTCTTCAGGAACAAGTCATATCCTGTGGATATGGCCGATTTAAAAAAAAAAAAATTAAAACAGGAAACTAATCTGCAGAAAGAAATTGGATGCAGCGTAGTGTTTGTAATGGTCTGCATCTTTCTTTGAATTATGAGTCCAGTAAATACGTGATTTGCTTGAACCATAGCCATTCCTTTGAGGCTGTACAATATGTGCATTTGATTCCCATTTTATGAGAAAAAACTAGTGCTGTTCATTTTCAGATTAGTTCACACATTTAACAAGTACCACATAATTTCATTCTGGAACACATGAAGAAGTTAATCCTGTGCCTTAAGAGCATAGATATTCTCTCTTTTTATATTTTTTTGTGTGTGTTTTAAACTTCTGGTTTAGAGTCAGATCATTCAAGTAAACAGAAATTTTTCAATTCCATCATCCTTCTCTTTACAAAAGGACATATGAGTAGCAGACTTCACTTTCATATTTTTATGATATTGACTGGATATTTAGAGAAATATATTTCCCTGTATACTGCATTTGGTTAGGGGTAGTATCTTTCTAGTATTAGGGTAGTATCTTCTTTAAAAAAACACTTTTCTCCCTCAGAGAGGAAGTTGCTTGTGACAGGGCCAAAGCACCATCTAACAATCAGGACAAGTAAAATAACAGGTTGCTTTACTGACTTTTTTTTCCTTTTTTTACAGAATTCACGCTATGAAATCTTAAAAGCTCTCAGTCATTCCCTGTCCTTGGCAAATGATGTGGACTTTCAGGATTTGGCAGCAAAAACAGAGCAGTTCACGGGGGCTGACCTAAAAGCTTTATTATACAATGCCCAATTAGAGGCAATCCATTCTAACCTAAATTTAGGTTTAACACAGGTAAATAAAACTGTTATAAAAGAAGCCTCTCCTCTTTTTATGTTGATATGTTTGAAAGGGTTCATATTATCCATGTTTTTTAGCAAATTATGTTGATAAGATTTAGTTTTCTTTTATAGAGAGGATTAAAATTTTAATATGTTTGCAGAAAAATAAAGAATAATGTAACAAATCAGTTTGAATACCTCTTAAACAGCTTCATTCATGATAGGTGTTTAATGTTAAATAGATTTATGTAAGCCCAAATCTGTTTATCACAGTTGTGAGGAATGACTGACAGATCAATAGGAGGGATCCCACTCAGAGTTTCTTAGGAACAGCTAACAAATTCAGTTTTGAGATGGCGCATTTTGGATGATGGAGGAAGCAAAATATTGGTGGGTTTTGTGGAGTTGTTCCAACAGATTGAGTTTAATTGAAGTCAGGAGAGAAGTGGCAAGAGGGTGGTGATGTCTGAAACGGCCTGTTCTGGTTCATCTTTCAGGCACCAGCTCGAAGTACAGGATCCTAGCTTGTACTCCTTGTCTGACTGACAGGTCCTTTCCTCTTTTAGCCTCTGTTCAGCCACCTCTCTTCACATTTTTAATGCCTGTGTTCTGGTTCTAGCTGGAAATGGACAGGCATGGCTTCCACTATTCAGAGGCCAAAGGGAAGGGTTGGGTCAGGGATGCAAAATCAAGGAGACCTCTTGAGTTGTTTTTGGCCCAGCTGTTATCAAGGAGTGGGACTCTGAGGTTGCAACTCTAAATATTGGGAAGGATCTTCCCTAACTCTCCCTTCACTTGTAGCATCAGTAAGTAAGTAGTTGGTACCTCATGATTATCCATCACAAGAGTAATCTGTTGTGTGAAGCAGAGGTCTCCAGAGTGGTGTGCACACACCCCAGAGTGTGCAGAGTCCATTGAGGTGCAGGAAATAAATATAAGACTTCAATAGTACATGTATATAAGTTATGCATAAACTTGGTGGAGTGTGCTCAAAAATTTTTTACTGATAGAGGTGTACAATCAAACAGGTTTGCAGACACCAGTCTAAAGCAACAACTGTGATTTCCATATCAGCACTTAAAATGTGTCAATTAGACACGGTAAAATTAGACTCACTTCAATATCCTGGAGCACTTTACACAGGATATTAAATTGCCTGGAGGGAAAGGTTGAGACAGAAGTGATACAGATCTACAAAAGAAGTAACACTTGCTGTTACTTGCTGTTACTTGCTGAGTGAGACAGTTGAAACTAATAAAAACTTAAGATTATCTCCTCAAATTATTTTTCTAGTATGAAGACAGAAAGTTCTGCTTAAAAGCATTGGATTTTCTTAGCAAAATATTTGGAAATACACCCCTAGAGAAAGACAGATTACTAGAATAAAATGTTAATCCATACTTTCATATGTATTGTATATGAAATTTTTCATATATTTCAGATTGCACTTAGGAATTAACTCTTCTAATGTTCTGTTCTTCGTTACAGGATTTTGGATCTAGTTCTGATAGTGACTTCAGTCTCTCTTCCATGGTTTTTCTAAACCACAGCAGTGGCTCAGATGATTCAGCAATAGATGGAGAAGCAGGGCTAGAGCAATCTCTTGTTTCTTTAGACATGTCTGACTTGCTTCCTGAAGACCCAAGGTCCAATATGTATCGTATTTATTTTGGAAGCTCTTATGAATCAGAGATGGGAAATGGAACTCCTTCAGAACTGGTAAATTACTCACTTAATATTTTGAATTTTCTAAATATTATTAGTTGTAAAGCAGAAAAACTAAAGTATGATAGGGTTTTATAAATACAATTATGTCTCCTTTGACCTTCAAACTGTCTTCAGTCTATACCTTGTAGTCGACAGTGGGGAATAGGATGGAAGGATGTGATCTGACAAAATATGATATGGACTTTTCTGCTACTTTGTAGGACTTTAAAATCAAAATCCCAGAATACTGCTTAATACCTTATAATGAAGAAACTGCATTCATACTAGATTTTACTGTCTGGTCAAATGGCTTATTCCCTTCCAAAGTTTAATACTAAAACAGTTTTTGACTTTTGGGTGGTTGGTTTACTTGTTGTTTTTTTTCAACTTAGTCATTCATTAAAGAATGACCATCCAACTTTCAAGAATTAAGTTCTAATCTTAAGAATCAACAAACTTTTTTCAGTTTCCAGTGAAACATGTGTTAATAGAATAATCTGACCATAGAATTGTGTCAAGAACAGAACTAAACCTTAGCTTCTGTCATTGTTGTTACAAAGCAGAATTCCTGATGTGGTACTGTCATGTTGCACAGAGAGCAGCATTCCCTGTCCAACTTGCAGGCAGGAACATGCAGGTTGGCTTAGGTGTAAGTAAATAAAACAATGGATTTAGCAGACCTTTATTCTTTTTGAGATGGGCCATTGTGAAAATATTTACATTTTTTCCAAGCATGAAACACTTCATTTTCATTGCCCAAACACCTGAGCAAATTAACCTAACTCTTCTTGTTAAAAAATTGTGTATGGGATATCATCATCATGTCTGGGCTTCACGAACGAAGATTTGGGGAGGGCTCTACCCACGTTTGTTACAAGAGCATTGGTGACTAAAAAGGCCAATACGAGATAGACATGTCTGGTTGCAAAAGGCACAGCAGAAAGACTCCTTAGGAGATATATTCTGCAAGACACAATTCTTTCTGCGTTGTCTTTTCTCCTCGAGAGTGATCCTGCGTGCGTTCTCAAAAGCATCATCAGCGTTAAAGATAGTGTGTCTCCAGTATGGGATATATTTCAAAGAGAAACTACTCTTTTGTCACAAAAACAAGCTTGTACTGAATTGTAGGCTAATTCCTAATGATGGAGTAGCTCTTTTGGATCCATAATGAGTTAATATATTTCTCCTTATGGTCAATTTAGAGCTCTTTGTGTTTGTCCGGACCAAACTCCATCACTTACGACTTTACCAGCCTGACTCAGAGAGATGTAGCATCCTCACAACCTTCAATGCTCAGAGTAGCTTCTCAAGAAGGCTCCCTGGAGAACAACCAGGAGCAGCAAATAGAGCACCTGAGGACAGAAGTCAGTGCTATCAAAGCCAATAACAGAAGCAAGAACGGAGTATGGCTTTTATTTTTTTTTATTACTTAGTCTTAACAGTTCCCTATTGTTTTCCCACACTTCTTGGTATTTCAATAAAGAATTCCTGCAATAATATTGAATATAATGTAACAAAAATAGCAAAGTGATGCTTAGTTTGAGGAAAGTAAGGCAGAAGTTAACATTCATGTAACTAAGCAGTTATTTCTGTGTTATTAGTTTGGGGGTGAGGGGGAGGTTGTGACTGTGTTTATAATACATTTGTCTGTACGTGTAATGAGGAGGTTCCAGAGTTAGTGATATTGATGACACTGTGTTTCTGTTCATGTTCTTCATTGTCTGTTCGTGGCTCTGTTTCCAAGGAGGACAGCACCCTTAATCAGTCAGGGCTTGCCAAGACCACTTTAATTATTACCCAGTCCCATCTGATGACTGCACTTCAGGGTATGAGACCATCCATTAGTCAAGATGACTGGAAGAATTTTACTGAACTGTAAGTATTACTTCTTTTGTAATTGTGAATTCAGTTAAGATTTTATTTTTTCACATTCCTTATACATCAGAAACAAAGTAGTTTTAAATAAACGTAGGGAATGGCAGCAGAGTTGAATAACTTCTTGCAGCTATTTTTTCAGAAATATTAAATTAGGTACTGAGAAAGGGAAAATATTTCATCAGTGAATTGTTTTTTATTGTTTTTTATTAATGTAGGACCTAGAAATCACAGCTGAGAAAACCCTTGTTTTATGTTAAGAGCTATACCAGAACAAAGAGGCACCGATTCTCTAAGACTTAGAGCTAGGTCCTTCCTGCTCCCACTTAGTAGTAGCCTCTCATATTTTCAAATTGCTGGGTGGTCTCTTTAGCTACCATGTTTGGGAAAAGGCAATAATCTGTAGAAGTATAAACATACCGAAAAGGAGAATGTGTCTCCTTCGACTTGGACGTGACTGAAGTAGAAAAGCTGGGGAAAAAAAGGAAGCAGGGCAGAGGGCTGTCTGAATTTGTGGGTGAAAAGTCCTCCAAGTCCCCAGGTCTGAGAAGACATGCACTCTTCATTTCCATAAAAATATATTTAAACATCTGTAGTTTTGTGTTGCTTTAATGTGCATCTGAAGAGGCATGTGCATGTCAGAAGAATTTTCTAATATCTTTTTCTCATTCCAGGTATGATAATTTTCAGAATCCCAAGAAGAGGAAAGGACAAGGTGGCTCAACATTCAGACCAGGACAAAAAATTACTCTAGCTTAGTAACTTGTATTTGTTTGTAATTGCTAAACTGTAACTGGAAATGACAAATGTGATTAAATCAGATTATTTATATTCATATGGATTTATTAATGCAGCAGTTGAAGAGAAGTTTCTTTTAAATTTACATGCTGTAAGATTATGTCACATTTTATTTTGAAGAAAATTGTCTTCCTTCAGATTGATATTAAATTTTTTGAGAGAACATTGGTTACATTCTGTCCTGTTGTTTATCACATAAACTTTTAAATCTTGGGTTTTATCAATATAGTTGCCAAATCCTAACAATGATTTCCTGTCCCTATTTATTCCCTCAGAAAAATAGAATCTGTTTAAATAAACTGTAATATATAATGGTAGAAATGTTTTTTTTTTTAAAAACTATAAAGCCATTCTATAATGGCCTTTGGAGGGCTTAGAGGAGGGTGGTCCTTTATGTGTTTGTTGGTAGGCAGCTAGACTAATACTTTCAGAATAACTATAGCAAAAAAAATCCCAACCAAGATAATTGTATCTTGTTTTATGCCACTGTTTATTAATCAGAAGAATATCAAGTTACATTTCAGAAGTAGTACCTTCTTATCCCTACCTTTTCTTCTTGGAGACCATAAAAAGCATTTCTCAAAGAGAGTTTCTTGCTTGAATTCTGTGGGTATTTGCACCACATGAAATTGGGAGATTGGACTACAATCGATGTCAGTGGACAGGTAAGGATTTGCTTCTCTCTCACAAGCATCATTTGAGAATAACCCATGTACAGCTGCCACTTGAGAACCTGGGCTTAAGGTTCAATTGCTTTAGTTTTCCCGTTTCTGAAATAGCCCAAGTGGTAACAATCTGCCATAGGCACACTGAAATGAAGTTCTGTTGCCTAAGGTTTAGTGGCTGTTCCAGTGATGCAGCAAAGAGATGTAGGATAACGTACTTTCAGATGCTCAGGTAGGGGTTGGTAAAGAAATACTAAATCAGTTCACTGGTGTTCACATCACAAGTGTGAGTCAGACTAAGAAATGAAGTGGGAAAAATCAGTCCTCTATATCCTCTAGCAGCTGGCAGGGCTTTTGTAAGGCTCCCAAGTACCCAAGTATTCGACCTTCCTGTGATGTCCTACAGCAGCAGTGTCATGTCAGCTGCTATTAGATAACCAGGGCAGATCTTGCACCTCTCAACTGTCACACACCAGCCTCCAAAAGTCTTTAATAGCTTGAATTAGTTTTAAATGTTTTTGTGAAAACTGGTATTTCAGGGGAAAAGTCACTCTGCAAATCCTGGGTGCAAAAAGATGATCCTTTTCTTCATTGTTTGCACAAAACCAGCTCTTGAGATCCTGCAGTAATGATTATTATCTGATTAGGCACAGCTGTAGCACAGTACATATCTTGTGAGACCCAGTGAATAAGTGGATGCTGACACTAGATTTTGGTACATCAGAAATTATAAGAAGTCATAAGCTGTTGGGCAATTTCCCTTATTCTAGAGATCAGCAACTTTGTAGAATAAAAAGCAAAGAATAAACCTCAAAATATTTGGAACCACCCATAAAATGCTGTCAATGCCATATTATTCCACCACAAGCACTGTGAGGATTAAAGCCATTTACATGGTTTTGTGCCATTTTTCTGTTTGGAAGATAATTGAGTCCTTCAAATGAACTTGTTACAGATTCAGTGCTAATCTCCATTTCCTTAATGATTGCCAAGTTTCAGGAAACAGTAATAAAATTATTTCTTAATAATACATAGTTAATACAATGCTTGTATATTGCTGAAGTGCTGCTGAAATAATGCAATAACTAGAGCATCATGACCTTTTTTAGATGCTAAAAAGCTACAACAGGAGCTTTTTGGTGCATTACTGTTTTAGTGTTCCCCCAGAATTAACTCATCCCATTTTCTAATGCCCATTTTTCCAGGAGTTAAAAACCTGATAATTTTCTCAATGTCTAAAAGACCAAAATTCCTTCATTAAGGACAGGTTTACAGTATAATGTAGAAAAAACCCACTTGAAGTCAGAGTATCGAAGCTTCCTTCTTCTATGGATCCTGGGGAGAAAAAGGTCACGGCTTCCCTCACATCAGCACCTGCCTCCACACTGACCCCAACTCTCCTTCTTTCCATGTCTAGGTGAGCAGATCCCATCGTCCTTCCCCACCAGCTGTCCTAGTGCCGCAGGTCCTGCTAACGGAGCCACATCTTGGTGAAGACGGTGGGTCTAAAGCAGAATTCCTGCACTGGAAAGCAGGAGGTCTGCTGGGATGGCATGAGGCACACGGGGATTGTTGTCCTCTGTCGGTGAGGGATGTGGGGCCCTGCACCGCGGAGCACCAGGGAGGGTCGGTCTGTCCTACGGGGCGGTGGTTGGGAGCCGCCCCAGTGCCGTGGGCAGCCTCCCCAGCGTGTTCCTCCTTCCTCAAGCAGCTGGCGTGGGTGGCAGGCAGAGGGAGGAATGCTTATCAGAAATGTTCATTTAATTTTCTAATGCTTTTAGGTGAATGTCTTATTCCAACTCCATACTATGGTGATGTAAATTCCAAAATGTGACTATATGTCGGAACACAGCCTGTTCACGTGCCCTTGTCCAGTGAGGTGAAGCTTGAGCCACTCACATACATTAGCAAACGTTTCACAGGGAACAATCCAAAAAACCCAAAAGTGCAAACTGAGGCCAAATGAAGAGATGGGACCCATGAAGAGCTTTTTGAGACAGCCCATCTCTTTCTGAGACTGCAGCATGGCAGTAGGCTGCTGCCATCAGATGTGCAGGATTGCGTCCATTCTGTGCACACTGACAGGCTGGATTATAATTTGTCAGCTCTGTCACTCCTACTATGAGTAAATTTGGTTTGCAAATGTTTTCCTTTAAGCGTTGCAAGATGTTTCTGTCACGTAACTTGTGTAACATTGGTTTCCCCTTGGAAAACTGTCTTTTTATCTTAATGATTTTTTTTCTTCTGTAGGTGACTGGTGAAGAAAGTCACCCTTTTCAGTTAACAGTTGAAAAATTAGAAGCTGCATTACAGAGAGCTAAAAAGCAGGTATCAATAACACTGATCTCAGATTTTCACGCTTTCCTCCTTGTTTTGTAAGCAGCATATGTTCTCAGCATTGAAGCACATGTATGGTTTCATCTCTGCAGATTTTCAATCTTGTGACTCAAGTGGGTCCAACTCTGGCAACAAGACCTGATTTTATAATCTGGGCACTGTAACAAAATGCAGAGAAACTCCCTGACTGTATTTTATGAAGAACAGATCTTAAATTTTTTTTGAGATCGAGTTTCTTTCTCTGTAGAATGTAATGGAATTCAAAGTGTTGTAAAAAGATATTGTTCTGACCCTCAGAAGAGAAACAATGCTACTGTAACAACCTACTCAGATAATTAAAGAAATATGTCCAATGTGATTTTGAAGAGGGTTCTTCTTAGTTCTAGCTAACAAGAAATTACCAACAAACAAAAAATTGCAAATGTAACTTTTCCATAGTTTAGTAAACCTAATTCGTTCAAAATACTTAGCATGATTAGTGATTCTATTCTGACTGGGACTGCATAAATGAGGACAGTATTGCTTGTCACATATAAATTTTTTTTTCTAACATTCCTTTCTGTATTTTAAACTGCTTTTCTTCCCTGTGGAAATGCTTGGTTTTGTAAATGTCCACAAAATAGTGCTCACCAGGCTAAATTGTTTCCTGATTTTTTTGTCTTAATACTCATAATTCAATCACTTGATGGAAAATTATAAATGCACACACACTGAAGTGTTTGTGCTCTTCCTTGAAAAGATCCAACAGTGGCAAGACAGGCAAAACAGTACGACAGCACAGTAAAACATTTTACCAAAGATGTGGTGATGATGGTAATGATGTTTCAAAACATGAAGCGAGAGGGACTTCTTGTGTCCTGTTCCAGGATAGAAAACAAAGTTTAACAGTAGACAAAGCATATTGTTACAAGGCAGGTCATTTAGAAAGCTCAGTTTCAAGGAAGGTGACATACAAAAAGTGGGTGTTTTGGATACACACAAATGTGTGCCTAACATTTTTTTTTTAGATATATTGAAGCTGTCCTAGTTATCTAATTGCTTGATCAGCATGGTGCTATGTTTAGACACCATCTGTCTGTGTCTTTGCCAGCCCATGGGAGCCTGAGCATTCAGACCCTCCCACTATATCCTAGCAGAGGGAGGCAGCCCACATCCCTGCTGCATCACTGTGGCTGTCAGGATGGATCACAGACCAGATTAACTCTTTAGAGCTCTGCATGTGTTTGTCAGCCTTCTGGAGCTGAAAATGTTCTCATGAATTATATTATAGGCAGCTTCTTTGGGTACATGTAATATCATAAATAGCTGAAGGAACTAGGCTAGAAAAGCAATAGTGAAACTGCCATCCCAGAGCAGTTGAACCTATGAACAATCAATAAAAACCTCAGTCAACATCTTCTGCTTAGGACACATCAGAGGTCACATACACTAAATATGCTCTCAGGTAATTTCTTCTTGTAGCTGGAATCAAAGGCAATACACTGAAAGTTCACTGCTTGTTAAGGTCTTGCTCACAGTACCCACTGACATTCAGAGACATTGCACTTCCCTTGTGGAAGGGAAAGTTAAGTATCAGGGCTTCCTCATCACTGAACTTTATTTTCTAGAGTTCTTTGGGAGTTGGTCTTTGCAAATAATCTGATTTGGAGAAGTCTTGGGCGGAGTGAGAATTTGCAGTGGGTGAGGTTTTCTAAACATTAAAAATAAAGAAACAAAACATAATTATTTAATTTCATCCCAAGCATGAAGTAATAATGCAGCACACCATGTTGAAACATTTAGTCTTGAAAGCTTGTGCTATCGTTGTGCACATATTATGGACTGTATATTTTAATCAGAATACTGAGAGTACTGAATCAGGGAATACTCCAATTTTGCTACACTTTTGGGTCTGGCAAAATGTTTTTTATATTCATGAGCTCTCTCTAAACATACACAACTCTCAAGTATTATATACATCTTTTTGTATATCATGCTAAGCGAGTACTTTCTGAGGAAGCATTTAGATTTTTGCCCTCGGCTCCCTTTCAGATTATTTCTGTGTGCCTGTATTGACTGGATAGCATTTTCATACATTAACTATAAAAACCCCTTGGAGATCTGTAATGTATGCTCAATTGACAGCATTGTATGGGGACTTTTTTGCTTTGTTTTTGATATTTGTTGGAGTGTTTTTTTAAATATTTGCAGAATTAATTCTTTGTTTGCTCAATTATTTAGATTTGGTGAGAGAAAACTAGAGCTGCAAAATTAACAGACTGCTGCTATAGAGACACAGTAGGATTGTCTCACTGTGGATCCCTATACTTTTGGTAAATGCTTTTGTCCCGTATTTATATACTCCAATAAGATCCCCCCTGAGTCATTTCTGTTCCATGCTGAACAGTCCCACCTCTCACCCTCTCCTTGTATTTCAGATGTTCTGGTCCCTTAATTGTTGTTGAGAACCCTTCACTGGACTTGTTCCAGTATGTCCATGTCTTTCTTGTTCTGCAGAGCACAGAACCTGTGTCCCAGCACTGTGGATGTGTCACACTAGTGCTGTGTAGAGAGATCAGTGGTGTTTAAAACCCTCACCTGATCTTGATAGGGAGTGAACAGTGAAACAGCAAAGCCCCCTAATGAGTAAGCTTTTCGGGCCTGTAAAAACAAGGGTTGGTAATAAAATACTACAGAAGACCTTCACAAAACTTGCTGACTGCACTTGGCAGATGAAATTTCCTATTAGATAAAAGCAAAGAAAAAATATTATAGGGTCTAATGCTCATTACTCTTCAGTGATAATCCCCCATGAAATATGAGCCTGTTGTTAAAAAGAATGTGCATGTTAGAAATTATAAGAAAAGAAATAGAAATACCTTCCAGAGGCATCAGAAGCTGGGATTTGGCCATCGCTGGAGGTGGACTTCTACACAGAGTTTAGGTTTGCCCCAAAATATCTGTTCTTATGTTAACTAGAAACTTCTGCCTCCGTTCCCAGTCGGTCTGACCAAGGAGCAGACGGTTGATGCAGACAGATCAACAGAGGGATCTTTGCTCTACATGAGAATGGCAACGGTGTATCACACATGCCACTCCTTTATGGCGGTAATGTGATTTTTTTTTTCTTTTGTCTTGTTAAAAGATCTGTGAAATAGAGTTCCCCCAGATCTTGCACTGAGTTTTACACTAATCTTCCGTAAGAGACATATAAGACTTTCTTCTGCCTTGAAGTACTGCAGTAAGTTGGTCAAAAATATTGTTGGTAACTGAAAGCTGAGGTGAATGTTTTAGTTTCTTTTCTGATGGTCTCAACTTATTCAGGGTGAGCTGTTAGTCCTGCCAAACAGGTTAAGCTTGATTAGAAAGCCTACTGAAGCTGCATATTGCAATGTGTTCCTGTCATTGTCCCACAGTATTTGTTCCTAGGTATAGCCTTATATGGATATGTTAAGTTTCAACATATCATTTCCACTTACCAAAAGAGCAATTAAGCCCTAGTCAGGCTCTGCAAACCTATCAGGCATGAAGCGATTGCTTTTGGTTTTGTTTTGGCCAACAATAAAATGCCAAATCTACTTCCTTTTCCTCCACAGTTTGCAGTCAACTTCTCATGAAAAGGGACAAATCTGTTATCTTGCCTAGCAGCAGTCTGTTACAAAGCACTTTAGAAACAGAGATCTAAAGAAGCAGGAAGAGTGAAACAGAAGTTATCAGGATCAGCACCATGGAGAACTATTGATTCTCCTGACACAAAAGGCTTTGCTTTCTCACACTCTGTATGACCATCCCACTCTTGGTTGTATGAGAAGATGAACACAGGTAAGATTTTCAATAAGATTTACTACCTTTTATTTGCTTATAACCTTTGATGATGTTCTGTTGAATGTGCATTTAATTTTTAAACACTTATGCCATGACTACTTTGTGCAGCCAGACTTTATAGCTGGTTTATGCACCCAGCACTGAACCGATAGGTGCACAGAGATCATGGAGATCTCATGGAGATCTCACAGGCTTTGTTTTTTGAGCAGCATTGATGAAGCTTTCCCTTGGTCATTCATTATGCTGCTACAGTAGATTCCCACCTTGAAGTTCGTGGTAAGTAGCTCTTTTGTGACATTTTGGAAGGTGAGAAACACGTGATAAAAACAACCCGGTCCAAAACAAGCATCAGTGAAACAGAAGATGGGTTAGCAAGATCTCGGGGAAACAGGCATCCCACCAGAAAAGCGAACAGGGAAGATCTCCTGGAATTCTACCTCCGTATGCAGGATGAGCAAGATGACATCTTCACTCTGCCATGTCCTAACTCCTTGAGGAGAGGTAACTAGAAAATTCCCTACATAGATTCCCACAATTTGGGAAATAGATACTCCTGAGAAGGGCACACTGATTAAAAGAACAGGTTATCTTTGCTTTGATTCTTAATGGCCTACTGAAATCAAGGCTTGGGAGAGAAGGGGTTCCCAAATTCTGCTTACATAATTCAGATTCACTGCCACAAGCAGCCTTACCATGTGATTTTATCTAAATGTGACCTAATCAGAATGAAAGGGAACATCAATTGTGTAGGATACTACGAACATTGAAAAGGATTATCAGAGTTTGATCTTCTGAAGACAAAAATAAACATTTCTACTGAAATTCCCTAGAGAAAGATTTATGTTAAGAAAAAAAAAAATAGCTTGTGTGTGTTTTGAACCTGCATCAGCTGACAGGACTGCTTTACAGCAAGGTACATTACACCAAAAAAGGCAGAGGGGATGGTCTTCAGAAAGGAAGTGGACACAAGGACCATGAACACAGATTGTGTTCCTGCTGTCCTCCAAAGAATGCAGCTTTGCCCCTAAAGAAAACTTAAACTGCTTCATGAAAAAAGAGGAACACTCCTGCTCTGTTCTCCCTAAATGAAGGAGTTCAGAAGATTTTGCAGGAGCCCAAATTATCATATGTAAGCAAACAGATGCCTGAGTTTACTGTTCTGGGTCAGCTACAGGGGCAATGCCCAGCACAGGATAATCTTGGTATTTTCAGGTACAACCAACCTGTCTGTCTACAACTAGATTCCAGTTCTACTTCTGTTTTGTTAAACAGACATCAAAGTACTTCAGTGTTTCATAAAGATGCATGAACCACCTGGAGATGTCATCCATGAAGAAGTTGTTATTGAGACTGAAGTTACTGAAATAGAGAAGAAAAATAATCTCACCAAAGCTGTAAACCAAATGCAAGAATAACAAATCACCAGCTAGAAGGGCTGAAAAAAAAAAAGCAAGCAATTTTCCAAAAGATGAGTGTGACTGTGTGGGTGAGACAGTTGCCAAATACAAAATTCTGTTGTCAATGATCACAAGACTCTGTGGTGGGGGGCACACAAAAATAACTATTAACAACTATTAACTATTGTAAAAGTATTTCTGCTTGAACATAATGCTCATTTATAATTTTGGAGAGATGTACTCTGTTAGCTAAGAGATGTACCAATTCTATCTGTGTGAAAATAGAATAAATTTATGATTTTTCTGATCTTTGTAATTCAGTAAGTGTAAAGAGCAGTTGAAACTACAATACTATATTAATATTTTTGTTCTCAGTTCTATAAGACCATTTAAGGTGTTTATTTATCACAATATACAATATATTGCCAATCACAATAAATTGTGCTCTTTGCTTCTTGTATAATATTCATAAGGCTGCATTACCTCACAGCAAGGCTATCGGATTGGATTGGATACCTATGGCTAAGTCCAAACCGTGGGGGTCAGTTCCTGGGTTTTGTGTGTATCCAAACTTTGCCAGGGTGACTGAGATGATTGTTGTGTGGGACAGTACAGCAGCAAGAGGGGAATCCTTGCCTCATTTCAAAAGGAGCCCAAGGAGCCACATGCTTATTTATCCATTGCGCTTGCATCACTTTGTCCTAGAAGAGAGAAGCATTGTGCTCCCAACAAAGCCATTGCCCAAATGCAAACTGCTCTCCACAACTTATTGTTTTGGTAAAGTTCAGGTGAAAGGGTGGGTCACTCCTCTCACAAGTTTCCTGCAGGCAGAAGGATCTGCAGTGTTACGCCTCAGGGCACAGGCCACATGTATTATGCATTACTCAGTATATTATACAAGCTCCATGGATTTCAGCTCTTAGCTACATGTTCCATCTTTAGAACTAAAATGCCTTAATGAAAACAACTGCTGGCTGGTCACAAAGCTCTGAAGCTTAACACAAGGCCAGAAATTCAGCAGTAGTGTATCCACTTACAGTCCAGTGATGCGAGTCTGAAACCTACCTACATTTTGGCACAGGGGATGCCAAACAAGGAAAGGGAGAGAAATGGGTGACCTGCTCAGCTTCTTCAGTTGCAGGGCATCGAAGCACAATCCCATGGGATCCTGATATCCCTTCTGCTGTTGAGTCCATTTTGCAGGTCTTCCTTTTGTTCTTCATTTTTTTAACATAGGAAATTTTCAGAGACACTGCTCTCAGAGGTCTCATTCTTCAGCTATGTCCATCCTTAAGATGCTGTCTGGAGTCAGTCATTTCCCCATGTAACTGGGTGATGTTCTGAACACAAGAAAAACAGGACAATGCAACCATTCAAATACCTATAAATAAAGTTATAATGCTTTAATAACAGTCACTGCTTGCAGATCCACTCTCTTTAGAGATCACCATAATTTTTGCCTATTTGTATTGTTTTTTTTACATTTCCCTGTATAATAAAAAACTAAAATAAAAATGTTCTGTGTTTACTAAGGGAAGTTGTTCCATAGTTCTCCGAAAAAAAAAAAAAAATTGTCTTTTTAGACTGTAGTTGGAACTATAATACTTGGAATCATCATCAGCACTAAATTTAAGAAAGGCGTATTCTGATTAAAAATTAATTGTTCCTTTTACATTACAATTTATTGATAAATAAGGCAAAGGGTAAGCAAGTACTTTTCATGTGGTGTAGCTAGAAAAAGCAAAACTTCAAGGTGGTGTTAGGTCAGATGTTGGACTCGATGATCTCAGAGGTCTTTTCCAACCTAGTCGATTCTGTGAATGAAAGCATTGTTTTTTTCCCCTATCCCTATGAGGATCTGACAAGGAAAGCACCTGAGCTTCACTGGACTCAATGATCTTAAAGGTTTTTTCAACCTAAATAAATCAGGTAAGATATGATTCCAATCTAACTAAGACAGTCCACAGAAAAGCAAAGGTCCATGGGTTATGCCAAGGCAGCACAGCCACTTTACAGTTGATCCCAAGTGAAAACCCTGTGGACTGCAGAGAAAGGAAGGAAAACGCTTGAGTGGAGGAAATCATTCTAGTTACTATACATATCTTTTAAGAGTTGTTATTTTTATCTTCTTATAGTTGTTAATTTAATAAAGATAAATCAGAAAAAAATTTAGAGGAAGTGAAAGGAGAGAACAGAGAGGAAGGTCAGGAGCAAGGTCACCTTGGGATTAATTTCTGCAACACACTGAACATGGGCGCACATCTCATCTTTGTAAGAAACTGAAGATTAAGATTTAACTCTCTATTAGCAATATACTGCTAAATTCTGAACATTTTGAACTATTGACAGTAAACTAGCACCTACTCCCTTAAGGTTGACTGTTCTTCCTGGTATTTGAAGAGGGCATAACAGAGGCTACAGGCTGAAACAATATCTGCTTCCTGCTCTCATGAGTCCCACTGTACTAAAAGTTAAAACATAAGCCCAGTGCAACTTTTACAGGCTTTCATACAATATACTGAAATTGTTTGGGGCTCCTGGGTGCTTTGGTCACATATGTTCATAAAAAGAAAACAAAAAGCTGAAGAGATCTGTACATTTAAATCTAAGGCCACTTACAGCTATTATCCTTCACAGGCAGCAGGAACCAGTAAACCCTGGGAATTTAGGCCATACAAGCACATCTCACAGTGTTTGGAGCTGACTGGCTTGTAAAAAGTTTAGGGCAGAAAACTTGGGCATTAGTATGTGTAATTTCTCCTGTTCTGCTAGTTACATATTTTCATTGATATACTGAGACTGTCAATACGTAAAATTAGTTTTTATTTCCCTTAATAAATGTGGTTTTTTCATTTTAATTGCTTGAGGATTTTTTTAGTCATCATTAATTGGAAAGACTGAAAAAATATTTTAAAATCAATTTTAAGAGACCAAGTTAACGTGCATACAAATATTAACCATCTGAAACTCAAATCATACCTCAGTGTTGGCTTGCTCTGGAAATGCAGATACATTCCTGCCATGAGGATGCCAGGATGGCAAAGCCAAATAACATTAATTTTTAAATTTGCATCCAACTTTCCAAGAAATTTATGTAAGTTCAGCAGAAAGCTACATACATTACGTTTCAGATTCACCTTAAAAGATGACTGTTAAATACAAGTCCCTCCTTGTGGATGAGAGTTTTCAGTCTGGAGAAATCCAGGTAGATCACTCCTTTCCATGTAACAGAAAATCATTAACTGCATCACTGACCATGTTTAGTGTTTATCTGAAGCTAGTCTTAAATTATTTAACAAGTAAATAACTACAGTCACAGTTAACTAAATTAAACAAGTATAAAAAGTGCTGGATGATTATGTCTTTTAACTCCTTTTCTGGAAAATAATTTAGAAAGTAAGAAAACTGAAGGCAACTTTCAGAAGTCAAAAGATGACATGAAACTTGTGGGTTTGTCCCAAAATGAGCAATAATGTCTGAAGAGCAGAGCACTGAAATGATGCATAAACTGGAATGGAAACTTCCTCTTTAAAGATATGATATATTTAAAATAAATAAATCCTGTAATCCATAAAGTAAAATGGCATATTTTATAATTTTTTAAAAATTCTTGTATGAGGCTCACAGGCCTGAGAATACACGCAAAATAACCTGTCCGAAGTATTCCTTAAAAAAAATTATAAATTATTGGTAACAGTTTCTTTAATGGAGATTGCAGGAGTAGGTCCCACATGAGTCCATATATAGCCCTTCTCTGGCCTTGTAGGAACAGTGGGGAAGGGAGATGATCGAGATTTGAAATATTCTGAAGGCGCGTGACAAACAAATTCTAAATATTCCATTTTCCTTGGGAGATCTTCTTCTGGTCCTAGGAAAAAAAATAAATCATCAAAGACAAAATTTAAAGGCATAAAGTTGGAGTATGCAGGACTCAAAAATATGCAACAACAACATTTAGAGAATTTGCCTTTGCAATCAATGACTTTCCTGGCCAAGGGGCCTAAAATACTAGGCAAGAAACATCTACCTTTATTTTTGCTGGTCTGGTCTTTTTTTTCCCCTTCATCTGAAGCATTCAGTTATTTATGTGAAGTACTGTAGTTATTTTCAATGTATGTTATTTTGAATGCTATTTGTGGCCTTTATGTGAAGTACTGTAGTTATTTTCAATGTATGTTATTTTGAATGCTATTTGTGGCCTGCCTGTCAACAGGATTTTTCTGAATTATTAATAGTTTTCTTATTGTTAGCAAAACACTCTCTATGCCAGTGCTTGCACAAAGTGTATTTTACATACTCAGGATAAGGATCAGGTAATTCAGGTAACTTTAAAAGAAACAACTTGGACTGGTATATCAGAATCAAAGTTACTACAGTCTAAACCTATCTATGGAATAATAATTTGATCTTTAAAGTCCCAAAAGTGTAACTGCCCCCATGAGCACACTCAGATAATCACAGTACAAGATAATCACACTCACTGCAGTAGTGCTAATGATATTATTTACACAAGATAAATGCTATTACAGTAAATGCTTACAGGATTAGGGTCTTAAATGTGGAACTTGCACAAATTAAATGAGAAGCTATAAAGTTCATTTAAAAAATACAGTTCTGCATTAGTCTAGGCACATACAATACTTGTGTAAAGTGAAGGCTTGGAAATTACCTATGATATAGGATGCTGGGTCAAAACAGTCTTTGGGGCTGGCTTGTGTAGGAATGAGCCAGGTTAGTGCAGCACTCTTTTCACAGTATTGGTCCTGAATAAACCCACGGATCTGAGCATAGTATGTTTTTCCATCCTGCTCATCAACCACTGAGACAACATCTCCAATTTGATAGTATACACCCTAGAAGACAAACAAATTACACTGAAATCAAACAACCTGATTTTGTCAGCTTCACTCTGTGATTCTGATTCATATTTTAGGTATCAATACCTAAAAGTTCATCTCAAATTACACCAGTCTTGAAAGGCAGCTTTAATTCAGCCACATGCAAAAGAAGGGTGGCCTAAGAAAGACAGCTGTTTCACCTAACCACTCATCAGCACTGCTCCCCAGTATCCAGGAGTTTGAGGCTACAACTCCTGACCGCAGAGCAGAGATGGTCTCATTCTGTCAAAAGCAGAAAAGTGCAACACCACCGTCTAGGAAAAGCAACTGTAGTGGTTTCCTTGTGTGTGCAGGGGAAGCAGCTTTCTGTGTATGAAGAAGTTCACTCATTTGAGCGCAAAAGAGTTCCAAAACACAGATCCATCTCCTGCCATTTTCCATGGTGCTCTCTAACACGTGAGGCTGCACATCAGAGGCGACTCACTCCGAGCTGCAGCGGCGTCGCAGAGCCCAATGCAGCCCCTGCACTGTCAAGATCAGTTAGTCAAGAATCATCCAGGAGGGTTGTTTTTTATTTTTAAAACAGATAAAAAGAACACAA